AAATTGCCGTTGTCGCTGGACAATTTCAGGGTTGTAGTGGGAAAAGATCGAACAAGTATAAGGAGAAAGGAGATCCGAGTAGGTCTTTATTGCAATTGAAATTTCGTTTATAGCTAATAAATTAATTTTTTGTAAATTTGTGAACTAAGTAATGAGTTGGGTTGTATTGACGAAATACTCTAATGCTACTCACGTAACTGTCACACTAACTGTACGTTAAGTACAGTTTCTACTAGTAGGGGAAAGGGGGAAACTTAAGAAATTATCAAGCCAACAAATGTTGACACTTGGATTGTGACATACATGGCCATAGCTCTGTCTTCCATCTTACTGTGGCATATGGAACGAACGGTGAAGGATTTGGATTGATTGGTGTATGAATCATTTGAAAGCAAAGTTGCATGAAGGGAGATGGAGAGGATTTAATAAGGTGGGGTTGTGGGGAGGACTGTTTTCAATATCTTCATTGATATGGTGATGGAAAAGACAAAATTAATGGACCCATTTGGAAGAAGAAGAAGAAAAAAGAGAGAATGATAAATTATGAATGTGTTAATTTTATGGTAGACCACATATTCCATTTTTAGTGTAAATGATATATATTTTTTTGTACAAAGTTAGATTTTGATCAAGCCTTGAATTTTAATTAATCACTACTATATGTTTAATATGAATATATAGTCTAGATCTACAGCTTATTAGAGCACAATTCCGAAGATTGTTCTCATAAACGATCATTATATTGATTTTTTTAAAATATACCATCTAGTTTTCAAAAACATGAAAAATATAACACGTGGTAAATGATTTGCACATACTTGTTTACTCGTTTTTTTGTTCGTTCGTTGTTATACAATTAAAACTGAGATTGTTTTAAGAGACCAAGTCCGAGAATATAAATGAAGATTATGATATTCAATATATATCATATATGCAAAATCGAGAATATAACATGTTCATAGAATTATTATTATTATTATTATTATTATTATTATTATTATTATTGATGAATTAAATGCTGATGGTGGGGTAGAGATCAGGCTAAGCATATGTCTCTTATAGATCCAAAATCACATTGGAGGGAGAAGAAAAGAAGGACCATGAGGCTGAGGGGACATCCCAATTTAATTTCTGCCTTTGATCATTGGCCCCCTAGCTCCAGCTTTGTATGGTCCAACCTTTGCCTTTAATTGCCCCTATTCAATGAGCCTCATTACACTTGTCCTCATTTGGCAGTTCCACGTCGGTATGAATATATGGATGGATTTTGGATGGTTTTTGCTAAAATTCATCCCCACTTCATTTTCAATTCGTAAACTTAAGCCTTCTCTAGATTTTTAGATAATGAATTTTCATTCTGTAAATTCAGACCGAATTCAATTTACAATTAATGTAATTAAGTTAAACATACATATAATCTCAATAGCTATAATGTCCCACAAACATTGGGTAAAATACCTCGAGTAGCACTTAAGTTTGAAAATTGGGGCAGAGATACCACTTAAGTTTGAATAGGGCGTCGGGTACCATTAAAGTCGTCAAAATGTGCATCCGTCTAGTTTTCAATCCAACCCAAAATTTTATTTACTTTTTGGTACCCAAAACTTTTTAAAACATCCAAAATTATATTTTAACAAGTTTTTATCTAATATAGAAATTAAAAAATCCTTCTAAACATAATATTACTAAAATGACTAATCAAAATTGTCAATAAAATAGATAAATAATAAAAATAATATCAAGAAGAAGAATAAATATATAGAATATAATAATAAATATTTAAAATTAATATTAGAAGATCTATTTAAATCGCTAATCCAATTAGAAGTACTATTAAAAATTAATTTGGTATCAAGTCTTCAAAAGAGGATACCAACAAAAAAATAAAATTTGATGTTTTTCATAAGTCAAAATGATTTTTTACAATAAGAAAAGTAGAAGGACTAATTAAGAAATTTAGAAAACAGAATATTCTGTTAACTTTAACAGAATGCACATTACATTAAACTTAAGTGGTACCGGGTGCACAAATAATAGAGTTCAGTGGTACCCGACGCCCTATTCAAACTTAAGTAGTATCTCTGCCCCAATTCTCAAACTTAAGTGGTATCCGAGGTATTTTACCCCACAAACATTATATATCATAAAATAACCTCAAAAAGTATGAGAAACGTAACAAAATGGTATTTTTTTAGGAGAAATTAGAGTTAAAAGGAGGCATATATATGTTGATGGAATTGAAAAATGAAACGGAAGTACTGTTTAGAGTTATTTTAAAATTTAAATCCAGTGGAAGATCTAGAAATGAATGATGAACATAACATGTAAATGAGTGTAGGTATAGTACAGGATTTATATATGGGGTGGTTTCGTTTATGAGGATAGGGTGGAGAGAACTAAACATGCATATTATCCTCAACCTACTATCTACTTTGTGAGTATTACCGATACCGGTCACTTAACCGCGGTCAATTATGGAAATTCGCTCGTTAACTGGATCGGGAATTGAAGGATTGCTGGAATCACATTTGTGGGTACAATTTAATTCCTAGTTATAAACAGGAAAATGGAGGTAAACGAATGATTAAAAAATTGTTGAGAGAGGAGCTGTATACCTAATGATATTTTATTTTTGAAATTAATGTGTTAGCACATAAAGTTATAACATAAATTGTCCTGCCTCCACAAACGAAGCCGTATGTATGTGTAACCATGCGCTGATTAGTTTATTATATTAGGTTGGTAGATATCATGAGAACTTGTGGTGTATTAATCAGATACTGTCTGCAAATCGTACAACATATATACATGGCCTATTGATATTTGATAATGATTCATGTGGGTTTCAACAGGTCGTTGGAAGTGCCGACGGATATATAATACTTCATTTTTATTTTATAGCTAGAATGGGTGCAATATAATCAATGCATTAATAGCAAGCCATGCATGCTACTTTAACTAGTTTATCATACATATTATAATCGACGGAGGAGAAAATCCGTCAGCTATAAAATCGGTGATTTATAGTCGATGTCTTGCAGATGAATCTCGAATGGACCGTCGTGATCAACAAAAATGCGGAATGGGAACTAATTGAATGCAATGCTTAAATGAAGCATCAACAAGGAACGATTCGAGCTATAATCAAACCTTTAGTATGCTTTACACTCCACGAAACAGTAAAACTCATTGGTCCTTATCTCTTCTATGAAATTTGATTTCAATATGATGGATTACACTACATACTAATGGGTGAGTGTTATACCTTTTTATAATCAATTCAAGTTTGTTTTTTTTCCTGTAAGCACTAAACAACTTCAAAAAGTTTGTATAAGTTTAAAATCGGACTCTAAAAGTTCTTCCGGGTATAATATTAAAATTTCTCGATTCGTACGCACTCCAACTTTCTCAAAATAGACCTATCATCTAAGACGAAAAAAATGTCATTTGTTTATAGTATTTTAAGTGGTTCTTTCTTTAAACAACAAACATAAATTTCAAACCAACTATCTAAGAACAGAGATTGCATGATAGATAGTAGGCATTAGCATCCATTCGATTAAAATTCATTTCTTTTTGCTTAGAAGGACGAGATAGAGATCAAAGTAGGAGATTTGAGCATCCAGATATTCATGATCCTGGGTAAATTGAAAATCTTTGGTTGGGCTTTTGATTTAATGTTGAAGAATTGCGAGTTTAGGTGTTGAAACTTGAATGTGGCGTGGGCAGTTGGCGCCAATATACAACTGATGATGGGCTATGATTCCGGTCGGGCCTTCATTGGTAGTAGCTAGTCTTGGGCTTGGTTTCTTGCATGGATTCGTTCATAAACTATCCATCCACTTCATTACTGTTCCTATCAAAAGATGTCCATTTATAGTTCTACGAAGCCCATAGTATTCGGAAAAAACTCACAGTTCTCGAGCTGCTATGGTGGACTTTGCTCATTGTGTGGGTTAGCCTGTTCGGGTTGTTTTTGCGGGTGCCATAGTTTGTACTTTTTTGGGTTTGATGGTTTGTGTTCCATGGTTACAGAGTGACTCATTTGGTGGTCACTCAAGCTCTGTTCTTGTCGCGTCATTTATTTGAGGTTCGACTTTGTTTTTTTATTTCGTAATAAGTTTAATTCTGTTGTAAGGTTACGGATCTTTGTTTGTTCCTCTTTTTAAGATTGATCTAACGGAGAGGAAGAAAAAAAAACTCACAGTTATTGTTACCATTATCTCGATTAATAGGTTTTTTTTTAATGCAATCATTGTTACTTTTGCAAGGGACCTCCTCAATCCAAATAATTTGCAAGTTGTGCTATACCTTTATAAAAAAGCTAAGAAGGATCTCTTTCATGGATTTTCTTTTCTTTTGTGGGTGGCAATGGATATTTCGTTGATTGATAGATACAGCCAGACTGGTAGCTGTTGGTACTACTTGTAGCAGCTCAGGTGCCCAACGACAATAATACACCTTCCTCGCCTCATCGGACGGCGCTGGCAGCGAGCCATTTCTAATCCAACGGCCGTGATTATTCGTGTACACGTCACTGTACCGTATTCGTACAGCATACGAGAAAAAGGAAACTATCGTATATTGGCTTAATTGCAAGTTTGGTCACTCGAATTGCTACAAAATTTCACGTTTGCCACTGAAATTAGTTTATTCTATTCATGGTCACTAAAATTAGTTCAACAATTCAAGTTTGGTCACTCTCCGTTAGTCTCCGTTAACTTTCGCTGATGTGGCAGTCAACTCTGATCTTTGACCGTTAAATGTGTGACATGGCAATTAAAAAATTATAAAAAATAATATTTAATATTTTTATAATTTCCACCTCATTTTCAAAACTATTAAAAAATAAAAAATAATTTTTTTTCCCTCTGGTCGGCGCCGGCGACCAAGCTGCACCATTCCCCCACCGTCTCTCCACCTGCAAATCTTTCATCGTTCCCCCAAAACCCCCAAAAACACCAAGAAACCCCAAGAATCCAAATCAAGTCGCCGCCACAATGTACCGAGTCGCGAAAGCGTCGGAGTACCTGGCGATCACCGGCGTCGGGATCAAGGACATCAAGCTCGCCAAGAAGTCATGGATCTTCCCCGGCCAATCCTGCACCAAGTTCGACATCTCCCCGGTCAACTACACCTTCGAGGTCCAGGCCATGTCCGCCGAGAAGCTCCCCTTCATCCTCCCCGCCGTCTTCACGATCGGCCCACGCTACGAAGACGACGACGACCTGCTCTAGTACGCGAAGCTGATCTGCCCCCATACGACAAGCACTCCCAGCACGTGAACCAACTGGTGCATGGCGTAATCGAAGGCGAGACCCGCGTCCTCGCCGCCTCCATGACCATGGAGGAGATCTTCAAGGGGACCGCCAATCAGGTCCAGCACGAGCTCAACCAGTTCGACCTCTACATCTACAACGCCAACGTCAAGCAGCTCGTCGACGTCCGCGGCCACGAGTGCTTCTCTTACCTAGGTCAGAAGACGCAGATGGAGGCCGCCAATCAGGCCAAGGTCGACGTCGCCGAGGCCAGGATGAAGGGGGGAATTGGGGCTAAGGACCGCGACGGGCTCACGAAGCAGAACGCGGCCAAGATCGACGCGGAGACGAAGATTATTGCGATTCAGAGGGAGGGGGAAGGTAAGAAGGAGGAGATCAATGTGAAGGCCAAGGTCAAGATCTACGAGAATCTGAGGGAGGCAGAGGTCGCCGAGGCGAACGCCGAGTTGGCTCAGAAGAAGGCCGGTTGGACTCAGGCTTCCCGAGTCGCGGAGGTTGAATCGGAGAAGGCGGTGGAAATTATTTTTAATTATTGTGACATTTTTTAATTATTTTTTAATTTATTGTAATAATGAGGTGGAAATTATTTAAAATTATTTTTTAAAATTTTTTAATTGCCACCTCATGCATTTAACGGTCAACTATAAGAGTTGACCGCCACATCAGCAAAAGTTAACGGAGACTAACGGCCAGTGACCAAACTTGGACTGTTAACCTAATTTAAGTGACTATAAATGGAATAAATTAATTTGAGTGGCAAACGTGAAATTTTGTAGTAATTCGAGTGACTAAATTTGCAATTAAGCCATCGTATATATACTTATACTGAATCGCTATTCGTCGCCCTAGAATTTAAATTTTATCGCCCTAAAATGCAATTAATTTACATATTTACCCTTAACCTAATTTCAATTCTTACTCTCACCAAACATTAATCCCTTCCCTCACCCCAAACCCACATTCGCCAGAACCCCTTGCTCCGCTTAGCTCCCGCTATCTACTCCCGCTGCTACTACTCAACCGTCGGAGAAAGGAAGAAGAAGCAAGCCGCCCTCTGCTGCTGCCGTCACTGTTAAACTGGACTTTTGTCTTACTTCTGCCCTCTGGGATGTTAGCGGATTGCCAGAAGCTTAATGCGAGAGTTTTGAAGGTGGGATTTCATAGGGAAATCGTCATCTGGGATAAGCTTATTAATTTATGTTTCACTTCTGGGGATTTAGATGGTCTCATTTCAATAAACATACCAATCTGGGTAACGTGATTGGTGGTTTCTACTTTCTAGGAACTTATCAGTGATGCCATAAGCAGCAATGGGCCTATTCCTGTTATAATTTTTTTTTGTTTTTTGTTTTCGGTAATTCATAACAATGTTTCGGGTTTAAGTGTTTAAACTAATGAACTAAGTATTAAAAAAAACTAAGGACATTAAAGTAAAATTAAGTTAATTAGGGCGACGAATAAGGATTTTTAGGGCGACAAATAGCAATCCCCTATTTATAACGGACGGAGTCATGGGAGTCACATGATGCGCGCCATTTTCTTCCTCTTTGTCACCACTCCGTTTGTCGTTTTCCGTGACAGACGGATTCACGAGTCTGACTGGATAGCTGACTCACCCGGCCCAATGGAACCAGAAATGGACACGTCATCACCCGCACTCAGTCCCCCGGGAATTGCTCTCCACCGTCCGACCTCTATCTCCTCCTCAGATATTTTTCTTCCCCACTCACACTCTCACAGTGCCACTCTCCCACACCATGCACTCCAACTGTTTGTATAAATCCCCCAGTGAACTCTCATCGCCATCACCGAAAACCTTCGCCTCATAGTAAAATCAAAGCTTCCTCCTACCCCAATTCGATCCCCATGGCGGCGACAATCACCTCGACCTTCAAAACCCCATTCCTCGACACCAAATCGTCCTTCAATGGCGCTCCGATCCCGGCCTCCATCGCCCGCTTCACAACCATGAAACCCGCCTCTGCAGGCGTCTCCATGTCCATGTCCAGCCCGCCGCCTTACGACCTGAACTCCTTCAAGTTCGCGCCGATCAAGGAATCCATCGTCTCCCGCGAAATGACCCGCCGATACATGACCGACATGCTCACCTACGCCGACACCGACGTCGTCATCGTCGGCGCCGGATCCGCCGGGCTCTCCTGCGCGTACGAGCTCAGCAAGAACCCCGACATCCGGATCGCCATCATCGAGCAGTCCGTCAGCCCCGGCGGCGGCGCGTGGCTCGGCGGCCAGTTGTTCTCCGCCATGGTCGTCCGCAAGCCCGCACACCTCTTCCTCAACGAGATCGGCGTCGACTACGACGAGCAGGACGACTACGTCGTCATCAAGGTAGTTAAATTATTAATTTACATGCGTCATTTACACCTCAATTAGAAAATAAGGTACCTATTGGTAAATAGACTTTTGAAAGAAATGTACATGATTAAATTACCTATTTACTCCCTCTATTATAGTCATTAGACAAATGCATGCTTGATTTGATAACTGATTTAATTACATCCATGGTCCTCAATTTTTTGTGATCCCAATTTGGTGAATGAAGCACGCGGCGCTGTTCACCTCGACGATCATGAGCAAGCTGCTGGCACGGCCGAACGTGAAGCTGTTCAACGCCGTTGCGGCGGAGGATCTGATCGTGAAGGGAGGCAGAGTAGGCGGCGTGGTGACGAACTGGGCGTTGGTGTCGATGAACCACGACACACAGTCGTGTATGGACCCGAACGTGATGGAGGCGAAAGTGGTGGTGAGCTCGTGCGGCCACGACGGGCCGTTCGGAGCCACGGGAGTGAAGAGGCTGATGGACATCGGGATGATCGACAAGGTTCCGGGGATGAAGGCGCTCGACATGAACGCGGCCGAGGATGCGATCGTTAGGCTGACGAGGGAAGTTGTCCCCGGGATGATTGTTACGGGGATGGAAGTTGCTGAGATCGATGGGGCTCCCAGAATGGTAAGAAATTCGGGGATTTTTGTTGGTGGGTTGATGATTTGATTCTAATTCAAATCGGTTGAACCGAATTGGGTTGGATGGATTGATTTGATTCTTGTTCCTAATTGGGTTTGGGTGAATTGATTCGTGCTTTGCGTTGTAGGGACCAACATTTGGAGCGATGATGATCTCCGGCCAGAAGGCGGCTCATTTGGCACTGAAGGCGCTTGGAGAAGCAAATGCGTTGGACGGTGGAGTCAACGGGAAGGTGAAGCAGCCGGAGTTTGTTATCGCTGATGCAGAAACTGCCGGAGAGACCGTGGATGCTTAATTGTAATTATGTAAGAGATAAATCAGCTAAGTGCTGAGTTACTAATAATAAGAGGAGGAGGAGAAGGGGAGAAGAAGAGCTAGTGTGTGAATTAGGTGTTTGCTAGTTGCTTTGGGTGTTTTTTCCTTTGGCTGTTTGGAACTTGGAAGAGTGGGTTGTAGACTTGTAGTCTTGTAGACAAGTTTTAGTTGACTTGGGGAAGTGCTAGTCCGTGTTTAATCTGGATTCCAGTCTTAAGTGCTTCTTGTGTGAGCCATTTCGGTCCAATCAATGACACCAACTTATGGGCTTCAAGCTTACCTATACATATGGGCCGAATGCTTGAAGAAATGTCGCGGTGGGCTATGATTCTAACTTGGACTTTTAATCTCCTGCATGGATTCATCAAATTATCCCTTAATTCCCTCTGACTTCTCTAGAACGGCCAATACTACGGTGCCGCAATAAAAAGTGCGGCACCGATGACGCTTCTTGTTATTGGTCCACGTCAAGTGTGACATGGCATGGGTGGATTCATTAAATAGCAACCCAACCCATTTGGCCCATAAGGAGTGGCACAAACCGTCTCTTCCAAAGTAACGGAAAAGTTGCTCCGTTATAACTCATATACGTTTTTCTATTTTTTGTTTTCTGTATTAATTTAATTAATAAAAGAAAAACGAACGAAGGAGCACTTCCTCTTCTACCTCGATCCTCCTCTCCGGCGGTCTCTCCCGGCGACTTCCCTGTCACTGTCATCCATCCCATTTTCAGCTCCAAGTTAACGTCTCAATTGAAATTTCTCATTGTTTCGTGCTAGATTTATACTGTAGACCAGAGAAGAGGCGAAGGAATCCCTCTCTCTGTCCCCATCGAACAGCCTGCCGTGCCGGCTAAGTATCAAACGACCCCAAAGAGAGTCGCCCTCCCTCTGCGTCGTCCGCCTCGTTTTGCGTGGTTCTTTTGGGTACAACCAGCATACGTAGCTGTAATGCAGAGGGTTAACACTTCCAAAACTACGTCTCTTGGTTTGAATCTCTACTGATCTCAGGTGGCCTATATATATATGCACAGTGGGGATGCTGACTGTTGCCACTTACAGTTGCAATAAAGACGGGTTGAGCTAGAGCCTAGAGGTCGGCTGGGAAGGCATTTAGCTGCGTGTTGGTTGGTATTGTGTGGAGAGAACGGTGCATCGAGCTATTTGGAGAAAGAAGGGATCCATAGTTGAATTTCGACAGCGTTATTATTGTGCATACTGTTAGCACTTGTTAGTGATATACAGACTGTGAGCCCTGTAGTAGAGAGGAGAGTTGGTTGCTATTTGTATAATTCATGCTTTGGTTTAATTACTGATTCCAACTAGTGAAGGTCATATATATATGTTCTTATGTAATATATCAGCTTAATTAATATATCACATGATTCGTTCTCAAGTGGAAAAGAAAATTATATGCTTAAGTAGAAGCAGAAAAGAGTATCAACCAGGAAAGCATACTCTACATATATAATAGATTGGTACAACATATATATAAAACATTTCCCAAGTTTGTCAACAAGTGTTCAGAACATCCAAGGTTTCCCTTCTCGCTAAAATTTAATTAAGAATTAATGATACTTTGAACGATGCATATCAGTCAGCCTATATTACTCTCTCTGAGGTAGACCAAATGAAAGAAGCGAGCTCCCCTAGCACCTATATACAGCCCTCCACAAACTTGCAGTAAGTACAACATTACATTCTTAAGATTTTCCTTGATGCTTCGAAGCGGCTGGTCTGTTGACATCGATTCCCCCGATGAACTGTCATCGATCTGTTGCGGTTCCCTCGATCAAAAGCAGTCAGATGAGCACAGTAGGCCCCGTGGTACTGCAAATGTAATGACTAATGAGAGAAGCCCTTAGTCATATATATATAAGGCAGGGTAATGACGAATTCCCCTAGCTACTACGAATGTTTAGTTTTGAGATTCAAATCACCAAGCCCAAACAGTTGGAAGATAAGTTACTTACCTACTCAAACATAGCGAGTGCAACTATCATAATCTAGTAAAGTAAAACAGGATCCAATGCCAAGTTCTAAGCTAAATCAAACCCTCCGATCGAGATAGAGTAATTCCAATGAAAGACCACCAAAGCGCGCGTCAGAGGCTTATATTCTACCGGCTGGCTTCTTCTCAGGTAACAAAATCAGAATTACGAACAACAACAAGCGCCCAATTAAGCAAGCTCCCAATCAATCTTTACTTCCAAATTCAATGAATACGAGCTAGCGAGAATAAATTATAGGAAAAGAGCTATGAGGGATATCATAGACATGGATATCAGAAACAGTACCTACCCTACCAAGGCGGCTGCGTGTTCTCTTCCTCCTCCCTTCTTCCACTTGCCGCTAGCTGCTTTATTAACAGGTCTCTATAAGAAACTGCAGAGTTATCAATATGTGTCTGACCTCTTCGCCTTATGTTCACCCAACTCCTATCAGTCGCATCGAGCTGGTATGCTTAAGCAAAAATAAACCTTAATCAAACTAGACAAGAAAGTTCAGTGACCTCGCATTTCCCATCTCATCCTCTTTCATCTGGCATCGAAAGAGACCAAACTGTCTAAAACGTACAACTCATATTCAACGGAGCAGTACATCAATAACACATTCTGATTACTCATAATTAAACACAAAATTTAGAGCATGACTACACAAATAATCTCACACTAAGAGCTTGATCGAGTTTTCAGCACATCGTTCCTGGGATGACATACAGACAGGACCTTTAAAATTTTCTAGTCCATACACAAGACTCAATCGTGAATTAATGAAACATAAATGCATGCATGAAGCGAAAAAAGATGGATCAGAATCAGATGACCTACCATTGGTCCATGTATCATGATCCCCTCAATAAACCATCCCACTCAAGTGCTGCCGACTCACAGCGCGCATTCCTCAAATCCGCTTTCCTTCTCTTCTCTTTCACCCTCGAATTTTCTGCCCACCTCAAAACTTGGCATCTTGTTTCTGGAATCGACTGGTACTTTGGCAGCGGTCGATGGAGACGGAGGGCCGCTGAAGTCGACGCCTTCCTTGGCCAGGGAGACTGACGAAAATAACAAACAGAACTGTTTGGGTAGCGGCAGTTGGGTCTAGGTCTCACGGGCCATAGGGTTTAAATTTGGATCAAACGAACCTAACCACCGCCACATATTAGTCCACGTGGACCAATAACAAGAAGCGTCACCGGTACCGCACTTTTTATTGCGGCACCGTAGTATTGGCCCTCTAGAACGGTAGAAGTACAAGTCCATTTATTTAGGCTTAAGGAAAGCCCATTAGTGAAGGAACTTCCTTACGGAACATAATGACTTGTTGATTCTATTCCATTCTTAGGTTCAACATCATTCGTGCATAGTCGTAAGTCGGGCCATTGAAGCTATCGAATGGTCACTTAATCACCTTCTTTGCCCATGATCTTGTTGTATGTTCGAGCTCGTTAGATGTCACCCCGTGGGATGCATAGCGATTAAGTCGAGCGTCCGAACTCTTTAGACTTCAATCTTAATAAAATTGGTTTACCAACTCGTCGATTTCTACATATTTTACCTTGTCAGGTGTCAACATCACAGGTGTATAGTCCAGCGGCGGATCCAGAACACAGTAAAATATTGAGCCGCATTTTAATATAATATTATATACCGTAAACAAAAAAGTCAATATTTTTAAATTTTAGTATTTCAAATAAAAAAATAGTTACAAAATAATCAACGATAACAATCAAATGACTAATATTTTGATGTGTTACAAAAGATTTAGCTAATATTTTGTATTTCGAAAGGTTTGGCTAATAATTTGGAAAGTCTAAAAGGTTTGACTAATAAATTGTATTAACTCAAAATTAGTTTTCACATATTTCATTGCTTAAAATCTTCTCTCCATGGTAGCCGCTGAAACAGGCAAGGTCAACACTAGACGAATCAACCCACAAATCAATTTGTTTAGAGGGTTTTCTTATTTCAAAGAAACTTTATACACTCTTTTACATTTTAGACTTTTAGGTTTATTATTTTTTTTTTCAAAAGAAAATCATTCGGGCTAGAATACCTAAACTAAATTGGGAGTAATGATTTGCATATGTTTATCTATACCTTTTTTTCGACCGACCATTAAATAATACTAAGCCGAATACCTAAATAAAAAAATTTATAAGCTCTATACTAGCTCTGGATTCGGCGGAGGGCTGGACCGTGGCCCGGATTGGCCCAGCCCTAGATCCACCGATGGTATAGTCATCATGCCACGGTCATCGAAGCTTTGCTAACTAATAATACTAAAATCAAATGAGCATGGAATGTCATTGTAACCCAATTTAATGGTTGCTTATTCAACGCTTCCCCCCCGTGATTTCTGTAAGTGATAAAGATTAAGGCAAAGGAAGGCACATCACACGTACTCCAAACTGATGCAATACACAATAATTTGGTACATCAAAGCCTTCTTTTATCAAAACTACAAACACACTGAATAATGCATAAAATTTTGAGGCTGTGATTAGATACAATTAATTATAATGATCAAACCCATTTTAGGTTAAACAAGCCCAAAAGCTTTCTGCAACCCTTTCTCCATTTAGGTGTAAACAGTAACTATCTTAATCACACGAAGCAGAAAGATAAGATAAGTACATGCATCGATGGGCGTAGTTGTTTGTCCTCTCTAATTGATCTTTGAATTGCTTTTTCTTAATCATTTTGATTTGGGGGCAGAATTGCGAAGCTAATACGAAACCACACATCTATCGTTTGCCTAAATTCAATCAATACCTCCCACTTTCAGGGGCTTATCACCACCTAATCTCCATCTAACCTTTTGTGATCGATTAAGATGTGGATTTGAGTGACAACTATCTTAATTGCAACTTGATATTTTTTTTTTAAATAATGCGACCAACAAGTGATGTCTATTTTAAAGATATTTTTTATTATCTTTTAATCCAAGATAAACTCCCAGGGCATGGCGAGATAACACAATTACAAGATAGAGACTAACAAAGAACGGTAGTCCGTTTGCAGCCGGACTCCCGATAAAAGATCCCGTTTTGCGATGAGGTGGGGGGCTTTGTTGAACATCCGAGGAGCAAGGAGACACGAGACTGATAGAAAGGAGGAAAGGAGAGAGCTAACCCTATTTGCCTCACGACGAAGGGAATTATTGAGCAATCACTAAAAGTAAAAGTTCAAATAGAAGACCTGGATCGTGAACAAAAATCAAAGCCGATAAACCCATCCAAGAAGAAAGAAAATGGTTTTGTTTTGTCACTACAGGTGAGAGCTAACCTATTTGCCTCACGACAAATGTATCAAAACAAAAACTTACGAATCTGTCAACATATATAACATGTGTATTTTCGTGCTAAGAGTGTGTTAACACCCTGTACTACTATTGAAAAATTCTTAGCATCAAGCCGAAACAAACACCAACGGCAAACCTCGTGTTTCAACGCCAAGTAATAACCTAATCATCTCCAAGAACCCGTCTTCGTCATCCCCTCTATGACAAAATTAGCAGAAACTCCAATCATCACACACTCAGGCACCAACCATCGCGTCCTGGGACCGGATTTAGACGCAATTAAAAATTGTATGCAGTCCCAGAGAGAGGAATGAATGGAGATTTGATACTGCCGCCATTGCCGACGGAGGATGAGATCGGAAACCAAACCCCACATTCCATATGGCCCAATTGGTTGCTTCCAAACCCAGCCTAACTTCCTTCTTCCATCTTTCTTCTGTCTTCCATTTCCTTCTTTCTTTCGTTAGCAGCAAGTTGACTTCTGACCCAAAGCGACGCGGTGGCAGCTGCTCTGCTTGACTATGGGGCCCTGCTTCCTTCCGGCTCAGCATGAGACCACGATAGGGGACATGAACGTGTCAATTCCTCTATGGTTGGAAACTCTGACACTTCGACGGAGTTGGTAATTTGCCATCCAACGTTTACCTTATTTTAATGTCTTCAAGCAGAGCCTATCACACGTGTAAATCCAAAAGCATCTTTTGGCCTTACATTTTGACTTCCTATCCCCCACCACCAGAGGATTTTCACATTCCACACTTCTTCCAAATTCCTTCCTCAACACAGAATTTGCACAGTTTTTATGCGGTTATGTTCAGTGTTCTCACTACTAATCCGTCTTCTTCTGCTCCTCTGCATAAGTCTACAAAGCACACACTAAAAGAGCTTTCCTTCCATTTTAGAAAAAGGAAAACAGAGAGCAGTCAAATTTAGGCATGGAGGAGAAGATGGAGTTGCCTGCAGGCTTTCGGTTCCATCCAACGGACGAAGAGCTCATAACCCACTACTTATCCCCCAAAGTTGTGAACGAGTCCTTCTGTGCTAGAGCGATTGGTGAAGTCGACTTGAACAAGTGCGAGCCTTGGGATTTGCCTTGTGAGTGATTCATTGATTTTCCTTTTTTTCTCCCCCTGCTCTGTTTTTCTTTTCTCTCTGTTTCTGAAGATTTCTCGTTTTTGTTTGTGGGTGATTGAAGGGAGAGCTAAAATGGGTGAGAAAGAATGGTACTTTTTCTGTGTTCGGGACAGAAAGTACCCAACTGGGTTGAGGACCAACAGAGCTACTGAAGCTGGGTACTGGAAAGCAACGGGGAAAGACAAAGAGATTTACAGAGCTAAAGTTCTTGTGGGGATGAAGAAGACATTGGTTTTCTACAAGGGGAGAGCTCCAAAGGGTGTAAAAACTAATTGGGTTATGCATGAGTACAGGCTTGAAGGCAGATTGTCAGCCTACAATCTTCCCAAAACTGCCAAGGTCCGAACTTTCTCGCTCATCCCCTGTTTTCCCCCCACACTCTGTTTTTAACTTCTTTCTCACTCACTCTGTTTTCCTTACTTTGTTCGATTATTTTGCAGAATGAGTGGGTGATCTGTAGGGTCTTCCACAAGAGCGACGGAGGCAAGAAGGTACACATTTCTGGGCTTGTTAGAATGACCTCCAACGGGGAAGAAACGAAGCCATCGGAGTTACCTCCACTGATGGATTCTTCTTGTTCTTCTTCTCATGAAGAGACCAGGAATTCTACGTACAATTCCCACGTGCCCTGCTTCTCCAACCCAACGCAGGACCATAGAACCCAACAAGATTTGGCCTATGGTTCCGACGCTACTCAGTTTCCAAAATCCTCTGTTCCAGTGATCTCCTCGATCTCTCCAATGGGCACGTCAAATTTCCATTACCAAGATTCTCTGTTGATGCCTGACCAGTCACTTTTGAGGATGTTGGTGGAAAACAATGGATGGCAGACGTCGGAAAGCTTGAAACCAGAGCAGGTTTCTGCTGAAACCGGACATAGTACTGATATGTCTTCAAACCATGCTCAGCTGCTTCACACATCTTTCGAGGTTTCAGAGGATCCATCTTCAACTTCTGCAGGAATATTAGACCTTGATTGTCTCTGGAGTTACTGAAAACAGAGTATACAGAAGAATCTTCTTAGAGGTAGAGATTTATATAGCAACATTGGGTCTGTGATGTATTTGTATAGATTTGCTACCCTTTTTCATTTAAGTAAACTGAAGATTTAGAATCTAAAATAACACTACTTTAAGGAGTTTTGTACCATATGAATCGTGAACTGTATCTCTAGACTATTGTTTTCTTAGGTAAGAGATTTGGAGTTATTGAGCTTTGTCTGATGTTAGGAATAGATCCCTGAATCTCATACATCGTCATACACAGTGGCGTAGCCAGGATTTTGGGTAAGGGGGTGCCAATTTAAAAAAAATTAAAATGAGTAAATGACTATCAATTTTTTATAGTGACCCACGACGGGTTCTCATATTTTGAAAAGTCTGTAAAATACATTCATCATCCAGACTATCAAGAATGTCGCTCTCAATGTATCCTACCAAAAAATCATTCATGATATCATCACTCATTCGACTCCGAAGAGTGTTCTTCACGTAGTTCATTGCCGAAAATACTCTTTCAACACTTGCAGTGGAGATTGGTAGCAGCAATGCTAACTTCACAAGAAGATACACAGATGGAAATCCCAGATGCCGCTTTGTAGAAACCATCTTACTAGAAAGCTCAGCAATCCCCTTTTCTTGAATAAGCATATGTAATTATGAGATTTTTTAATTTAATTTACTTATTATTTATAAACGGTAAATTATATATATGCAATAAAACGTATTAGTGTATCATGTAAGTAATTGTGGTTTAGTGGAAAATGTCAAAGCTAATAGTAAGGGGGTTCCACGTTCAAATCCTAGCTATAGCATAAACTAATACCCCTATTTTTTGATGTTCTAGCTCCGATCCAAGGTACGGCACACCCTTCTAAGACACTGTCTCCGCCCCTGGTCATACATGTACTGTTTCATTAGAGATATTCCAAGTTTGGTTATGTAAAGATGTAAGCACACCCTCCATCGTCCAATTTGCGATTTGATGATGGTGGCACTCGTCAATTCATTTAAGTAAAACGATAATCCTTCATTATAGTCTGATTCAAATACATTAAACTATCTTGTCTACCAAATTTCACACGTGGCTATTGTTAATTGAGTTAATCAACAACATCAACCTTATTACTTGAGGGAGTTGCAATGTCAAACTTTTGGATCTATCTCCCAATCCCATCTTTTATCCCTTATGCTCTCTGTCTTTAAAGCAGTTTGAGGTTTGTGTGTAGGCCACCAACCTGAAGTTTGATCAATGATTAACAATAAATAGCAAAGCACGCATTAGAGCACCTTGCGTGTCAAACATCTGCACATAAATGCCAGTCTCTTTCGCCCCCATAATTGTTTTTTGTTCGGATTGAAGAACGCTTTCAACTCTGCTTTCAGGGCTTGGGATCAGGTGGCACATAACTCAGCCAGTCACAAATCCTAGATGATTAGGTGTGGCAATGATGAAAAAGAACCCTAATTAACACATAAACTACATCTATGGATGGGCAATGGTTCGACCCATTCGGATCTTATGTTCCAATTGTGTCAGATTTGTTTGGGTAATCGGGTTCAATCTTGTAGTGTTACAGTTATCTTAATAGAATTAGGCTGCCGCCTGCCCCCTGTTGTATACTACTTTCCAGTTTCTTAGCTAGGGTTTTAGGGATCAAATGCAACACTACTTATCACGCATTCATACTTTGTATAATACATAGTTGATCAAATGCTGTTTACAAATCTACTAAGAAAGTGTACATATTAACACTTATGATCAAGGTTGTCAAACCAGTTTATGCTGGTACGACGGTTTCACAAGTGGAATGGTTCTACCGTGGTTACAACTAGTACATGCGCCGGTTTATGCCGGTCATAACAAAATTCCTCAATACAAATCTAAATAACATAATTTTAAATAATCTTTATAGAATGTAAATAAAATCAATTCAATTGAACTCATTAATCTTTTCTCCGATTCAACTCTGGTCAATAATTCCAATTCAAGTTCTATTTCACACAAATATGAATTGGGAAAGTTCCCCATTCTGTAACCCTAATTGAGTGGAATCCTCCACCGTTACTCACTTTCCCTGGATGCCCCTCCCCGTTATCCCCTCCACTAACCAAAAGCAATTTGAATGCTTCATCGAACATCAACACATAACATTCAATTAGAACCAGAAGTAAAAGAGGCTTTTTGGAGAGCGCTCAAATGAGAGCGGTATGACCTTAGTCGTGCGTCTACTTTGCTAGTTTTCTGAATACATTTATTTATTACTGAATCAATCGGAAAAAACGTACTGAATCCAGATCGAGAAGCTAGATTTATACTACAGTTTACAGTTAAGAACTCGAGAAGGGAAGACCGTTGTGGTTGTAACAACCTTGGTTAATTTACCTTTAACTACCTACATTATCCTAGTTACACACTTTCTATACTATACTAATTCTAAATTACAATTTGACTTGTATCATCTAATATGCTTACCAAGTTGTGTCGCCGATCAGTTCGTCGCTAGGACAAAGTGAGCAGGCAAAGCGCAAAGGAAAGAAGCGGAACGAAAACGACGACTGGTGGGGCGAATCCCAACTGCCCAGTCTGTGAAATGAGAACGGCGTCGTAATAATAAGAAACCGGAAATTATCCTTCCGGTTGAACCACTGGTATTCTCGGAACTGACCGATTTTGACCGCATCATCATGCCAGTGGTATTTTAGCCGGTTTCATGACCGGCATCGATTGAACCTGGTTCAACCATCCGGCATACCACTGGCATGACAACCATGCTTATGATTAAATTTTAAAGCAACATCAATCAAATCTAATTCTCCCCTTTTCAATTTTTTTTATACTTACTAGTTACTATCTTTTCACTTCTAAATGTTAACAACGTTCTCTCTATGTAGACTAGAGAGGCAAGCTTCTCTTACTTAACGAGACCGGTCTTAAACGGTTTAACGGGCGATGATAAGGAAGAGAACCAACGACAGGAGCACCAACCGCGCGCAATGTTGGAGCTTATGGCGAACCTGCACAAATTTAAGGTTACTGAAGCAAATTCATGCTTCTATACTAGTGAAAGGTTTCAACTCAAGTCCAGGAGCTCTAAGAGAGCTCATTTTCGCGAGTGCGATTGCAATTCCTGGCACCATAGATTACGCCCACCAACTGTTCGCTCAAATTACTGACCCGGACACCTTTATGTGCAACACCATGATGAGAGGAGCAGCTCAGAGCCAAAACCCACTGAGAACTGTTTCCGTGTATAACGTGATGGCGCGTTCTGGTGCAAAGCCTGATAATTTCACGTTTCCCTTCTTGGTCAAAGCTTGTACGAGGCTTCAGTGGAGGAAAATGGGTAGTTGTGTCCATGGGATGGTGGTGAGATTCGGGTTTGGAGGAAACAATTTTGTGAGGAATACGATTCTCTATTTTCATGCTAATTGCGGGGATTTAGGAGTAGCAAGGTCGATTTTTGATAATATGGTGGAGAAGGATGTTGTTGCTTGCTCTGCTTTGATTGCAGGATATGCAAGGAGAGGGAACTTGAATGTCGCCCGCCAGCTGTTTGTTGAAATGCCAGTTAAAGATTTGGTGTCCTGGAATGTGATGATTACTGGGTATGCAAAGAGAGGGAAGATGGGTAGTGCAAGGGAGCTCTTTGAGCAAGTCCCCAAGAGGGACGTTGTGACTTGGAACACTATGATCGCAGGGTATGTCAATGTTGGGCAGAATGATCAGGCTCTGAAGTTGTTTGAGGAGATGAGGAATGCTGGAGAACATCCGGACGAGGTTACAATGCTCAGCCTTCTATCGGCTTGTTCACAGTTGGGGGACCTGGAGACCGGGAAGAGTTTGCATTTCTCAATCTTTCAAGTGAACAAGAGAGAGTTTGGTGTTTTACTTGGTAATGCTGTTATATCCATGTATGCTAAATGTGGCAGTATAAAAGGTGCAGTTGAAGTGTTTCAAGGGATGAAAGAGAAGGATGTTACTTCATGGAATTCAGTTATAGGAGGATTGGCTCGAAATGGGCATGCTGAGGAATCAATAAGGTTGTTTGAAGAGATGCTGAGATTGGGAAAAATTACTCCAGACGAGATCACTTTTGTTCAAGTGTTGATTGCTTGTGGTCATGCCGGGAAGGTTGATAAGGGGCGTAGTTATTTTGATATGATGATAAATAAGTATGGTATAGTTCCAAATATGAAGCACTATGGGTGTATTGTTGACATGCTGGGGCGTGCAGGGTTATTGACAGAAGCATTTCAGTTCATTGACAAAATGAATGTTGAACCGAATGGCATTATTTGGAGGACCCTTCTAGGGGCTTGTGCGTTGCATGGAAACATTGAAATTGGGAAGCGTGCAACCGAGAGACTGATGAAGCTAAGAAGAGATGAGAGCGGAGACTACGTGTTGCTTTCCAACATGTATGCTGCAGTAGGTGAGTGGGGTGGGTTTGAGAAGGTAAGGCAGGTAATGGATGATTATGGAGTGTGGAAAGAGCCTGGATACAGCATTGTCGAACCCGATAACAAAGCTGTCATTAAGCTTCTATCTCGGTCAAGAAGCAGCCATGTTCCAGAGAGTTGAGTGTCACAAAGTTCTTGCAGGTATAGCAACTTAAATCTCTTTACTAATTAGAATTCTAGCAACTTTTTTTTTTTTTTTGCAAGAGTGAGCTCTTTCTTTGCTCTATATTTCAATTATAAAATTTGTTGGCAATGGAGAAGTGAAGTCAAGTTTTGTTCTGCTTAATGAAAATTTGCGAAGCCGAGTTCTTTGCACTGTAGTTCAATTGTTTGTGTTCCAACAGCTTCAACTATGGTTCATCTGAGTGTTAGTTGCTGGGAATAATTGGAAGTTTATGTCCAGTTAAATGCACAGATGCCATTGGCTTGGGGACTGAATCTAGTGTGTATCCAAAACTAGAAGTGTTCCAAAAGCAAAAGATGGAACATTCTAGCTGAAATGGAACATAAATTGGTAGTCCAAATAATGTCTTTCAGTTTATGAAACTATCATCTCAATGAATTGTAACACAAACTTACACGCACAGAAGTCAAGTTTTCAAGAAGAAAGAGGAAAAGTATAACAACCTGACACAAGCTGTAAATCTTCTTCATCACACTCACACAGCACACTACACACACCAAACATACAAACCACAATTCATATTTGCATCTTGAAAAGTAAACAATGCTTGTTTTTTCTATTTTAGCGGCGAGCAAGGGCTGAAGCAGACAGTAGTATCAGGACTATGAACACGGTGACTCCAACATAAGATCCTATCAAGGATCCTGAGATGCGCTCGCAGAAGGAGTTGAACTGTTGGCAGATGGCTAGCCAGTTGGCCTTCGTATTACCTCGGTGTGCCAAGTACACAATGGCTGCCCCAGCTGAAGACCCTGCTGTCAGTAAAGCCAGCATCCCCTACAATTTGGTAAACTCTCAGTACTCTTGCATTTCCGTAGATACAAATCTATCAAAACCAACTTAAAGATGTAGTAATATAATTACCGTATCAATTATGATAAGGATGATTCTACTGTTCTTTGCAGAGCTCCTCAGGATGTTGAAGATTGAAAGTGGAAGCGATAGAAGAAAATAGGCGCTCACGGCAGCATTGGCTACCACAAAGAACCTGGCCAGCAACCCAGAGGTCATCCAGATACGTTTATTCCCACTTTAAGCAAACAGTGGATATGGTCAATTACGATGAACAGATATACGATAATATGCTTACGTGAATGTTGGAAGGTCATTGTACTCGGCCCTGAAACGAATGAACTGAGTGAAGAAGGGAAGAGTTTCGTTTGTCGTCGCCATCATAATTGCACTACTCAAGGTACCAATGAAGCCAACAAGCCTCAAGATGAAGTCTAGAATGGCAATCCCTCGTGTCACACCAGCTTTCTGGGCGGTATAACCCTTTGGCTCACCAAGCACCACTGTAGCATCTGCCTTCATCTTGGTAGCTGATGGTCTCTTTATGGGTTTTCCTTAGAGGTTATAGGATTAAAGCAGGTGGTGTTAATGAAGTTTGAATGAATGTGCATGGTTGTGAAGACTTAGCATGGGTATTTATACAATTCACAGCATACATTGACTGGAGATTATGGAAATGACACTTTAGCAATCCTTTTCTTTATTCTCTTTTCCCTTTTGTGGAACAGTCTTATCTCATCAATAACTAAGCCATTTTGAGAAAGAAAAGCCTACTTTATAACGACTACAACAGTTATGTATCCCAAAGATGTAAGATCATATGCCCAACTGCAGCGTTAACAACTCCACTCGAAAATAACCCACACCACCAATAATAGGTAATCATTTCGAGCTACCTCAATTTTCCGAAAAAGGTTCAAGTTCTATGTTGTTTAGGTCAGAAATGGTATTATTGAGATTCCCAGATTGAACAAATCCAACCACCTCCCCTACTTACTGAACCAACCAACCCCATTTGGTTCCAGGACACGGTTTGTACTCGGCAACTGTACCAGCTGGCATTTGCTGAAATAAAACAAAAAGGGCACGAAAAGCTTCCAGGGAGAAATTGATCTAATTAACATGTCAAAGTCTCTGAAATTAATACTGAGATATGGGATACTAGTTATCGAGCTATGATCCTTTACAGGGACTCAACTTATCAAACATTTACAGAGGTTTGTTAATCTTATTAGGGTTGCTTCTCGTTCTGACAGGATGGCCACTGCCAAACAGAAGCCCAGTTAAGAACCCACCACTTGTCTTATCATTATCAGCCTCTTTCACCATGGAACTGGTACTCAAGTTGCTGATCAAAGACCAGTGAGACTCAAAATCTGGATCATATCCACTTCTCTGCATCATTCCCATCACCTCGGAAGCATTTCGTAGATTGTTCTCTGAACGGTGACTCTCAATCACACAAGAGTACATCTCTCTTCCGGGGATTTCTCCAGCTGCAAGCATGGCATGGAGAAGTTCTTCTGCTTCTGAGGTTCTTCCTTCCTGACACAGCTTGTGAACCAACAAACTCCATGTCTCAATGCTCGGTTTACCGTCATCTATATCCAACAGCTCGGCAAGGAAATCGAGAGCTTCGTTCACTCTATTGCGTTTGCAAAGACTTTGAATTATGCAGTCGTAGCTCCTTGGGTTTGGGAGATTTCTTTTCTTCAGCATTATGTTCAGGAGATCAACAGCTTTGCTTGTTCTTCCATACCAACAAAATAGCTTGATTAGACGGTCATAATTAATGATATCTGGAGCTAAGCCTTTATCCACAACCCTATCCAGGAAATTCTCTGCTTCTTCAAACTTATTTTGGACAAGAAACTGCTCTGCAACTGCGTTTTGAAGGATGGAACCATGAACCCAGCCTTTTGATTCCATTTGTCGACTCAAGTCAAAGACCTTACTCGAATCGTCTTGCTTGAGTAGACAGGAGACTAAGCTTCTCAAGCTGCTGGAGCTTGGCTGAAGGTCCATTGAAACCATGGCAGACATGTAGTAAATAGAGCTAGAAACATCTTTGCATTTGGCAAATCCATGAATAAGAAAGTTATAAGTGGCATCATTGAAGGGCAAGCTCTTCGCCTCCATTTCATTCAGAATGCTCCTTGTAAGATATCTGTTACCTGCTGACAGTAGATAGAAAACTAGAATGTTATAGTAAATCACAAGGATATCAGACTCGGTCTCTCTTGCTGTTATTAGGTCCTTCATGTTTAATGCCATATCATACCTACTCTCTCTACACATCAATCGGACCCAATTTCGGTAGCTCGGTATTGAAAGGGTTAAACTTTTCCGCATCAGGATACCAAGCAATTCTTTGGCTTTCCTCATGTTACTTGCTTTGCAATATCCTTGGAAGAGAATTTCACAAATTTCAGGATTTGGAAGTAGCCCATTTGACAGTATACCCTGCAGCAGACTGGCTGCTTCTTCAACCTTTCCTCGCACACCGAATCTTCTATGTAGAGCTCTGACGAAAGAAAAGGAAGAGGATAAATCTTTTCCTAGTTCAGTCTCTTCCAGTAAATTAGCTTTCTGAACACTAACAATACACAGCTGAGGAATCAGAATTACATAACCATCCGAGCCGAGGACCAAGCTTCTAGTTAGAGCATGGTTGAATATTTTGTACGCATCTGCATATTTCCGGTCTTTGTATAACCCTGCTACAAGATTACTGTAAGTACTGTCATCCACAATAAATCCATGTTTCTCTAGTTCTTCCACTACCAAACAAGCAATTGATGCCAAGCCAGTAACTGAAAGCTTCTCCAGGAAAATTCGATAAATCTCTGGCCTCGAGGTAGAATGGAAGACTAACAATTTTTCTAGAAGCTCTACTGCTTCCATCAGCATTCCCTGGTAGCTGATACCTTCAATAACACGGCTGAAGTCTTTCAACTGTGGCAGCCATTTGCTGTTCTGAGAAATGTCCCAACACTCATGCAGATTACCAGACAAATTTCCCTTCTTGCATAATGCAGTAATCAGAGCAGTAAAGCTTGAACTGTCAAACCTCATACTTCTTTGAATCATCTGACCAAAAATTATCCTTGCTGTCTCTGCCAATCCAATTTTACAGTATGCTTGAACAAGACAATTGAGGACTTCTTCATTTAGCAGATTTAAAAACCTGGGCACTTTTTCAATGAGGAAGTTGCACAATCTTATATGGGATCGGGATCCACAAAGCCCCTTCACCAATATAGCAAAGACATCTGGAGTTGGCTCCTGGCCCCATCGAACCATTTCATCTACAATGGAAAAAGCATCTCTGAAGTTTCCATCATCAAGTTCCTTCCTTAAAAGCACATTGAAATCAGGAATCAGGGAATCTTCCAGGATTTGCTTAACTTTGTTTCTGTACTCCTTAATATCCGCGTCCAAATACAGTCCATTTCCAAGTTGGTCAAGAAATTCTGTCTTCAGAAAACTCGAGCCATTGTCCCTTTTAAACCTCACAGAGGCTGGATTGAATCCCAAGATAAGAAATGCTTTAGAAAGTGGGTCTTCAACCGGAGATGGGGCAACTAAGCCGATCTCCCCCATCTTATGAACTATTTTCTTTGCTTCTTCAAATTGTCTGGCTTTAAAGTATCCCGCAAGGAGAATTCTAAAAGTTGATAATCCAGGAGTTACTCCAGACTCCATCATCTCATCAAGAATAACACCGGCTTGATCCCACATGCCCTCCTTCAGCATACCACCAATAAGAGCATTGTAAGACAAAGTCCCAGGTTTTAAACCTCTTGAAACCATCTCAGAAAAATGCAAGAAAGCATCCCTTAAATTCCTTTCCTTGCAGCATTGACCGATCAAAATCCCAAAACTTTTATCATCAGGAATGAAGCCCAGCCGCTCCATTTCGAGCCTAAACAAATTTGCACTCTCAGCATCAAAATTGTGGCACAAGCTCCATATAATCTTGTTCCCTGTCAGAACACTTGGCGCACACTTCATCTTGGCGAAGAACTGGAGAGAATCATCATAGTCATGTTTGGAGCAATAGCCACGAGCTATCTCATTCACAAGGAAGCTGCTCGGCTTAAATCCTAAACCCATTGCCTTCTTCACAAGTCTCCTTGCCTCCTTAATCATTTCATCCGCACAAAGTAATCTACAAACATTCTCCAAACCAGCATTCAAGCCATCATCTAAAACAACCTGAAGTTCGACCATGTCTAAACACACCCGAAAAGCCAATTCGCTTCTCTTCATCCTCACCAAAAGATCCAAAAGACCATGATAACACATTGATGATGGGACCAAGCCTTGCTCCCTCATCTTCTCATACACTAAACCAGCTCTCTCTGGCTTACTAGCTTCAACATACCCTCTAATCAACCCATCATAAATCACATTCCCATCCAACGAAACCCCTTGTCTCTCCACTTCCAAAAGCAACAACTGGACCTCTGTAAACATCCCAGACTCAAGGAGTAAAGAGGCCATAGCCTCACACGACTTGGGCAGGTGCTTAAACCATATACCCTGCTTACTCGCAAAATTGAATATCCCCCACAAAGATTCAACCTTTTCCTTCTTAACATTAACCATTCGAGATTCAAATTGAAAACCCAGCAATATTTGAAGCACATGTGCGGGTTGCAAACTATGGAATCTACGAAACCTCCGCGCGACATCAGGTATGGTATCGGAGATATCCCAAAGTAGGTGCTTGAGAGAATGACCAGAGCTGAAGTTGTGGACTTTACCTTTATTGCTGTTGGGGAACAGAGAAGAAGCCTTGGAGATGACCGATTGCGCAATGCCAACACAGTCTATATCTGAAGGCGCAGTGGCGGAGAAGTGGGATTTGGCAGAGCCGAGAAGTGGAAGTTGTGAGAATCGTCGGGGTTTTCTTCTGGGATTGCCAGTGCGAATAATTTGGAGCATGTGAGTGTGAGTGCCAACAGGAGATACTCAGGGGTCAGGATCGCCAGCCAATTCTCAGTTCTCGCACTGAAGTTGTCTTTCTTCTTATTTAATCGAATTTCCTTCTTCTGTTGCTCCCTTCTGGCTAGTGCTCGAAGTTTGGTACCTGTAGTTGGGATATACCGAATAATGTACCGAATTTGTCTATATTTGGTATTACCGAATACACTTATTATTTTGTGGGATTGGGATTGAGATTGAAATTCAGTTGTTATTCGGTATTAGGGATTACGGGATTGGGATCGGGATAATACCAAAATATAAGCTAGTGCGTAATTAATCCTTTGAACTAGACTCTCTCATTCACTACTAGGCGACCCTCAACTAGCAAGAGTGTCATTCAATTATACATAGATCATTCCATCACTATTTCACACTTGTATTAGTCCTCTTTCAAACTCAAATTCGTCAAATTAAAGATTACCAATTACAAGAACTTGAGATATTAGCTCTAGACAACTCAAGACTCTTTGCTTAGTCTCTTTGTCCTAAATTAAACAATAAAATCTAATTTATATTTTTCATTATTAATTACAAAGGTAATTAATTTTGTATTTGACAATACCGATTGGGATACCGAGGTACCGATTGGGATACCGAATTATTTAGGGATTGGGATTGGGATACCGAAATTATTTAGGGATTGAGATTGATTTTAGGGTGTAATTCGGTATTCGAGATTTCGGTATTTGGTATTAGGATACCGATACCGTACCGATTTCCACCCCTACTTCTGGCTTCTGCCTTTCAGTTCAGTTTGATGTAATTGTTCATTCAGTCCCTATACTATGTTCTCTTACCAAATGACTCCATCTACTAAGTTTTTTTTGGCTATTTATACAATGTTTTGGTGCACGCTTGATGAAATCAAAAATTATGATTCGATTTCATTTCATGAAAATTTTAATAGTTAGGAAAATACTAGACCAAACGGGATGAAATGCATTTATTGATTTGATTTTGGTCATCAATTTACCTTTCTCCTTCTATCGTGATCCATCTCAATTCGATCCAATTTTAGATAGAATTTAAATCAATGTGCACATCTACTTACTATGATTTGTAATCTCATTCACTATAACCTTTTTCTTGCACTTTTATTGACCAACGGTCGCAACCAAACTCAACTTTAGACAATGTGACATAATTTATCATATTGAGCTCTTGACGTGCTAAAATTGTAAGCCACAATTCATAATTGCATATGCATGTCACAACAATCATTTACAAATTACCACCACATGTTGTGAAAATAGGGAAATGCAAGATCAACCATCGTAAAATTACACTAGGATGTCCTAAGCAATGAGCATTAGCACGGCACCGGCCGGATTGTTTTGTTGGGTTTTACACTAAACATCAAAGCTGAATTTATTATTGTAATGCAAGTAATGATAAATGTAATTAACGAATTCATTATATAAATTAATTGGGTTCATTCAACCTTTCGGGGAAGCCATGGGGCGCCTGCAAAGGATCAGTTGACTTCCATTATTTCGAGTTGTTACATTTTCGTCAATGGTTAATTACTACATACATGGGTTCTGAAACCTGAAACTAGATCCATCCATCTCTCTACCTCTCTCTATCTCTCTATCTATCCCCATCGTTAGCTTGAGAAAAAAGCTAGTAAGCTTCGAAGTCAAAGAGGGCAGGAATCAAGAAGGATGAACGAGAAGATGACCGCGGCGGTGATCGGAGTGGTAGGGGCGGTGATGACGCTGGGAGCTTATTCGCAGAGCATGGTGTCTCCAAGCAGCTGCATCGGAGCTGCTCTTTGTGTTCTCATGTATGGATTGCTTGTCGGTGAAGGTTTCATCCCTAATCCTCTCGAAACCAACTCCATCGACTCAGCAACAACAACAAGCTCCGTCGTCAAACCCAAAGCTAACTGATCTCTCTGCTTTTGCTAGGTCATACGTTAATCATTGTCTCTTCTTTACTAATTACCTCAAGCGTGTACTATGTATGACAGGTCTCTGTTTATTAATTTCCAAACGGTCTTCTGTGAAACTTCCAATTTGCTTCCATATTTCCTGCTTGTGTATTGCCGTTGTAGCATCCAATTTTTGAGCTTCATGACTTGGACATTGGCGTTCTTGATCTTCCTGCAAATTCAAACTCGTCATAGTGTCCTTCAGTCAATAATATATATGAGCAACAGATTAAGAGAAGCTGAGTGTCGTGTGTACGTGGCCATGTAAGCATGAAAACAGAAGCTCGATCTTCGTTGTTTGTTTGTTCCTGTTTAGGCATGGATGAACGATATGCAAATGGCATCAATGTAATGATTAATGATTATAAATCGACGTTGATCGCGGAGTATGAATGGCCATCGGAGAAACTAGCATGAGAGAAGAAGGGAGTGGAGTAGCCAGAGACGGCTTGCCGGCCGGTCTTCATTTCCCGACTAATGCATATATATGTACTGCCGGCAAGTCATCCTTGGCTGCACCACATTGATAAAACTCCCTCATTCCCACATGCAAGCATCTACGATGATGATGATGATTGGAAGCAAAAACGGGTAGAAGGCCATTTGGATGAATGGATGTGTATGTGCATGAATGGTTACCTTCAGCTCAGTTCATTCTACTTATAAAGAAGCCATACTCCTGCCCAGAAATGCTCTCTTCACTTCTGGTTGGTCTTCATTTATGAAAACTGGGGAAAGAAAAAGAGCTAATAAGACAGTTGATACAGTAGAAGGACGACAGAGAGACATTAATGTGGAGGGACTTTCCTTTTCTGTAACAGTAGGCTCCTTAAAGGGCCTCAAAGGCAAATCACCATCTCAAACTTCCATTTATTGTTGTATCTGTGCCAAATCCTTTCATTTCGAGGATTGTTACCAAATTCGTCAAACCATAGGTAGTGGTATGGCCATCGAGCAAGCAGCTATCTGGATTTCTAGTTTTCTACAGTCCTCTTGAGGACAAGTCGACATGCAGTAACATATGATTCGAGACCGAAACAGCTAATGAAGGTATTCAAAAAAAGATGGAGGCTTCAATTGATCATTTACATACAATTAGTCAAGAACTAAGATGACGAAAACGACGACTAGTGAAAGAAGTGTTGAACAGCTGCTTTCCCACACACAAAAGAAGAGGTGCGTACAGCAGAGAGTTAGGTGGCCAAATTTACTCTTCAATAGGCAGCCCTGCGTACACATATAAAGCCTATGAATGACACAGACTGACTGTATTTCTAGACCAGCTGGACGGCTGGATATTGGCAGCAAGTGCAACTACACCTCTAGTGTTGTTACACATACACCATGTACTAAGTCTTAACTAAGACTCATGGTAACTCGCTTTCACTTCGACCTCGAAAGCAAGTCGATATCTACTACAGCAGTTGATGCCTGCAAATTGGAACTCATCCCTTTAACAAAGGCCAGAGAGAGATCAACGGACCTAGTTGAGTAGTCCTCCTCAGCTTTCTCGTATTCCTTGTTATTTATAAGACTCGTCTGATACCAACGACCAAGCATCCAAAAAGGGATCCACCTTCGGAGCAAGCTATCTCACACCCCCGAGCCTCCTATATAATGACGTTCAAGTACTCCGTCATGGGAAAGACAAAGCAAAGAGCAATGAAATAGACAACTCCACACCATCCTTCCATTCTTGTATGAAGCGAGAGAAGCTTGTTATCCACTACCCCTTCGACTTGGAAATTTCAGCGGGCATGCATGTATATATCCAGATAACTGGAGACGTCATTAAAACCTGCAAAACACACTCATGGCAGCAAACCAAAATCCAAAAAACTACAGCAGACAAATGCACAGTTTTCATGCTGTGAACGTCCTGTTCAGGACTTCAGTCATTCCGCACTGATTGACGTTAAAAAAAAAAAAAAAGATACTTCCCTTACAAAGGATAAGAGAAGATTTCCTCCCGTCTGGAATGGCCAAAACCTGCTCAAGGTATCCAAATATCAGGTAACTGGCATATAATGATATGAACCATGGATCTAAGGAAACACAAAAAACTCCAACCGAAGATCAATAACAACTATCAAATCCCCAGGCTTGCTAACTAACGTTCACAATGTGATACAACATGCCTTTCTCCATTGAGTCATCAACTTCCCCTGAAATAACCAAACATAATCCATGCAAGTAACCAAAAAACCTACAGGCATGATCGTATTAAACCATCTGATGGAGCAACTAAATGCACCTACAACCCCCCAGGTTCTGGGTGTTCTACTGTCTAGTGCTAGAGTGTTGTAATTACCAACGGGAACTTTAACCAGAATACATTACAACGAACCACTCGTTAGTATCAGATGAACAAATTCTCCATACCAAACCAAACTTCTGTTCATTGACAAACTTCCTAGATAAATGAAGAAGACTAGCTTACTGAATGATTATGAAGATGAAAGGAAGGATCCATTCTGCAATTCAAGAAAACATTTGATTTACATTGTACTCATAGTAGCAGAACAGTGAACGGGGTAATCCAGCCCATTCAAGGCCGGGAATCAGAGGGACGGTCTATGCGGTAGAAACAGAGTGCTTTGGAGTACAAGAGCCAAAATGAATAGACTTAGAAGCAACAGGGTTCCAAGATTAAAACGAACAGTTTGAAAGCAAAAGCAACAGAGGTAAGGCAACTACAGGTTCTTGGAAGCACATCACATATAGCTTGGTTTGTTGTCAGGGACAAGGCAGATTTGATAAGTTTCAGGATCTTCAACTATGTTTGGTTCCTCTAGGGGAGATCGTCAAGGGCAATGTCCGGGGTCTTCCAGCTTAAGGCTGTAGGCTTCATCAAAAGAGGAAGTAGGTCTGGCATCAGGCTTCAGGATCTCAGCTGTTGTTATGGGACGGAAAAGGCAAGCACGGTAACATATGAGCATCAGAATCCTCGAACGGTCAACACATGATAGGTTGACCAAATGGAACTAGGGGACACTAGGAGTCTGATTGGCCAATATCATAAGAAATAAGAACTGCTTTCATATAAAAGGGGAAAAGAGTAACAAAATTAAAAAGAAAAGGAGAATCAATTCTACCTCCATGTGGCTATTGTTGAATTCTAGTAATGGTTTCTACGCCGTGCTGTCGGGGCCTGGTTAGAATACCTGGTAAACAAGAAGTTACCTTCAGGATATATATTCATTTGCCTACGGTTGGAGTACAAGAATGGAGAACGCAAAGGCAGGGTTGGTCAACACCAATGAATATTGGGAAAAGAAATCAACAAGGATTGAAGTGGAACATTATGGCTCTACTAAGCCTAGCTGTTGCCTCTCATGATGAAGTTTGTGACAGGAGCTTTTAGAGAAATTCATTTGATGGATCAAAATGGGCATAAGAATATTCTCCTTAAATATAAAAGATAACATTCTATACTGCAAACAAGTTCTCCTAAATGGCTCCAAATGCTCTGGGTTAATTTTGTAAATCTAGAGACCAAGTTTTCTAGTGTTGGGTCTAGCTAGGCTTCTAGAGCAGAAAAGCTCCACGAAAAGCCAAACACATGTTGCAAGAGCATATTCTAGGTCAGAAACTACAGAGCTTTATAATTCCAACGTCAAATCTTACCCAGAAGTGCTTGCACGTGCAGACGAATAACTCCCATAGGGTCCATATGGACCACCACTACCACCGATCTACAAGAAACATTAAAAGAGTAACAAATGATCACATCAATCAGACAGAAAAGAATCAATGTAAAATAGAATGGTTAGATAGCTACAAGTATATATGACACAAGATACCTGTGAATTACTGTAACTACCATATGTGTCACTGGCAGGATAATCATTCAAGGGATAACCACCAGCATAAGTATGACCGCGTCCAACCCTTCTACTATCTCTGGCATCATAATGAAAGTCATCTGACACATCAGTTGAAACAGGGACATAGGGTAGCACTGGCAAATAAGCAGAGACTGCACCACGATCTCGGTCAAATACATTGTCCCTTAACCTCCGGCTTACTTCTATGAGTGCATCCTTGGCAACATCAAGTTCCCCAGAGATCTGTTCATGAGCATATAACCAAATTCATAATTAGCAGGTTCAGTAAAAACCGAAACCAAAATAATACCCCAAATACAGATCGGAAAAACTCTTCCATGCATTATTACCTGTACCATCTCATCATCATCCGCTGCAACTTTAGGAACATTGTCCTTTCCAAGGATACGTATGTTAGCATTTGTAACATTCCTCATCTCATTGATAATAGCTCCGCCCTTACCGAGAAGGCATCCAATTCGTGAAGAAGGTACAAGCAGCCGGGTTGTAAATGAGAGAAGTCCGGAATCTCTCTCGGTTTTCTCACTACATCTGGGTTGCAACCGCAAGGCTGCTTCAATTGTTGGAGAATGTTGCTCATCAAACACCTAAAGTAAATATTGCCCAATGAGATATTTTATAAAACAGTATAAAGAGTTGAAAAAATTCTATCAAGGAATTTGAATAAATGAATCATACAACTTAACTAAAAGTCTAAAACACATTAAAAAAACAATGAAATTAATTATATTTTCGATTCTGAACTTTTGTGGTCTCTTTTATCATTTCTTTTCCTTTCCAATTTTCAAACAGATTGGTTAATTACACTTAAGATTGTCCATTACAAATAAAGGTAAATATATTCAAGCTCCCTGACATGTGAATACTTCAAATATGAAATTCATTACTGAGGAAAGTCTAAGATAACACTAAGATGTCAGACGACTGCTAAATTTTATGAAGATCACAAAACTGCTATTTTACGGGATAAAAAACTGTATCATGGTACTATTTGCATCCAATTCCACAATTTCAAATAGACTTTAGACTTAAATAGGTTTTCTTTTTCTTTTTCTCAATAGACAAAGATCGTACACTTAGTTTATCAGTTCCCATTTTAATTACTGGCAAAGAAGGTTTGCTAGAGCAATATCGTAAGATTATACAAACTTAAGGTCTAAGATGCTATTTTAACACTTGACTAGAATCAAACATCTCTTAAAAGCGTATGAATAGATATCCAGTCCTTCATTGTATTTAACAACTAAAACTGAAAGTAGCCATAAGAAGATACCAGTTTTATACCTCCCTGGCTGAAATTGTTATCAAGCAATCATCAGCAGCTGAGCTATGAACCTTTATACCGGCTCCAGTCTCTTGTCTAATTTGATTAATGATGGCACCACCTTTTCCAATCACGGCACCTATATATCCACTTGGACAAACCATACGAAGAGAAAATTCTCTAGGTGGGAGTTCCTCTCTGGGTGTCGAGTACAAGGACCGCGACCAATCTCTAGCATCACTTTTGTATCCTCCATAAGGACTCATCAATGGAGCCATTCCAACAATTGGTGCCCCACCAGTAGAACCAATCAGTGAACCACCAGAAGGATACATGTTGGGGACAGCAGAAACCAGCAAGTGCTGAGACCGTGATGGATTTTCATGAAGGCGAGCAGCAATCTGATATAGTGCCGTTTTTACTGTTCCAGCTTCACCAGAAATCTAAGACCCACCAAAGGGTAACAATCAGATACCAGACTTAACAGCTTACCAGATAGGAAAACAATCGACAAAGTATGACTACAAAAGATTCGAGCAAAAAGAGAGAAAAACATAAGGCCATTCGGGTTGTTGATCCATCATACCTGTACAAGTTCATCAGAGCTCAGTGCACAGAGTGGCAAATGGTCGTCCTTCAAAATGCGGATCTGTGTGCGAGTTTCAGTACGGATACTCTGCACAATCTGCCCACCTCTCCCGATGATGCAACCTATCTGATCAGATGGAACAAGAAGCCTCGCAGTCACTTGCTGACCGCCACCTTCTTCAGAGTCTGCATCGACACGCAAATCTTCCCCAACAACTCTATCGTGCACCCTGAATAGAGCATCCTGAGCCGGTGAGATCTTATCATCACCATCTGCATATGGATTAGTCTCGTCACTAGAGCTGTAGATGGTAACCACGCGATCATCACACCCGGGTATGGTGTCACCAATTCTAATCTTGGCGTTGGTGTCTAACCTCAACTGTTTGACAATTTCACCTCCCTTCCCAATGATCGTTCCAATCCTTTTACCGGGGCACAAATACCGGTAAACAGTATCACGAGGGTCAATGACCAAAGGGTCTCTATCTTCACCTGAATTTCTTCTCTTGTTTCTTCCATCGTCATAATCCGAGTAAGAATGAGACCGCTTTCCGTAACTGTTTCTCTGACCAGCCATTTCAGGTAAAAATACAGTATCTGCAACCAATGAGGTTCATCGTTATATAGCACAAGGAATTATAAATCAGCCAAGCAAGTTTGAACTAATCGAACAAAAGTGAATGACGCAGCATACTACTAGAAAATAAGCTCTGCAAGCACTGAATTTGGAAAGGAAAACACCCATAGATTCCAAGCGCAAGCCTAATTCTAACTTCCGGCAAGAAGAAGGTCAAAGATGCGTTCGAGAGATGAGGGCAACAACGCGGGAAAAAAGAAACGATTAATAGCAAGAACGAAACCAGGGTCAGTGCTTGATTAGACTGGCCACGGTACCAAATTCAATATTCCGTCGGCCGAAACGATTCTGGCCAAAATCTGCTCCCCTTTACGACGAGTGTTTCGAAGAAGAAGAAGAAGATCTCTAGGGTTTTGTCACAACCCGAAATGACGCGGGCGACTCTGTTTCTTTTTTCCCCTCAAAGTCGAAGATGTTTTTTTTTTTTTAATTTTCGAAGTTAATGGCTTTATTAATATACTTTATTTATGTAATATTTAGGGATGGGAAACGGTGCGGTCTGGTCCAGACCAGATCATATTTACTGTCTATGGTTCAGATCGAGAGGCTGAAGTATAAACCATAGACCAGACCACAGAGTATATGATCCGGTCCAGACCACGCCTGTGCAGTTTAGTTCGGTCTGGTCTGGTCCAGATAGACCACACTCAACGAAAAATGAACAATTTGTTTAGTCAACCACAAAAAAAATTGAACCAATAACCAAGAAAAATTATTGTTATTTGCCTTAAAACATTAATCCTAACATGCATGAATAATTTTGATACCCTAATTCTTAATACATAAAAAAGATTTAAAGTAAAAGCATCTCAACTTGCACCATAACGTCATAAAACATTAACATAATGTCATATTGAGACATGATTATCTCTACTCTCTGGTTAAATGTGGTTGTGAATGAATGAGAGACGGGATTTACAAAATTAAGGTTGAGACTTGGGTGTCGTTGTGCGAGTTGGGAGAGTGGTCAAATGAGCTGTTAACACATATTGACAAGTCGGTTTGGTCCGGTAAACCGCGGTCTAGACCAGACCAGACCAGACCAAGAGATCAAAACATAAAATAATACAGACCATGCCACCATGGACCAGATCAGACCATACTTAACGGTCCACGGTCCGGACCAAACTGTACGGTACGGTTTTGACCATGGTTTTTCTAACGGTCTGGTCTATTTTCCCAGCCCTAGTAATATTAACTAGTGGTAGGATGAAAAAAAACTTGCAATCCAAGGAGAAACAAAAATATTAATTACAAATAGCAATATGACCATCATAATAATTCATATTAAAGAATCATTTGAAAATTGTGTTTATTAAATAAATGTATAGTGATGAGTGCATATAATACTATAGAATATATATGTATTGATGAGTTTTGTGTATTGTAAAATACTTTCGTACGATATGTGTTATCGTACTTTTAAGTTGTGAATAAAAAATGAGTTGAGCAATCTCAATTTAAATCGTTTCAACAATTTTCACCGAAAAAATTAGATTGTTCAAACATTTAAGTTGAGTGATAGTTTATTTCAAATGAAGAATTCACGATTTTTAGTATAAAAAAACTATATATCCTAAACAACATATGTATTGTAAAATCACATAAAAATACAAACAATATGTGCATATGTATTGAACAATCATAAAAACATAATTTACATGTTGTTGACAATTTGATGAGTTATCCTATTTGCAATAGGATAGATTACAAATTTATAAATCATGAAAGAATTCAGGCATTATCACGATCACGATCGAACAATGACAACACAAATGTATAATTTACATGGATAGTTTGATATCTGATGCACAACCCTCTTTGTAATGTGATAGGAAATATAATTTCAATTACACATTTTATCATGTATTAAATTTCCTAAAAAAACTCGACCTTCTATATTACTCGTGTCTCATTGATTGAGTACATGTCAAGCAGATTACTTTTGACCATAATCAAACTGAGTTACAAATTTATATAAATATATTCTTTTGGTAAACATTATATAAATATTTTTAGTCATTGTAAAATATTTAAGACAAACTGTTTTGAAATTACATATTTTGCATATTTCGTTAGGAACGAAAAGATAGTGAAATTTTTTTGGTTCACGATCAAAATGTCGTCACTGTTAATTTTATTGAGATTTTACTAAAATATCAGTCACAACTCAAACTTTACAGAGCAGGCTCGGAAACGTAAGACTGCCAACCGCCCGGGCCCTAAAGTCCAATCCCGAATCACTTCTTTCTCTTCCGCACCCCAGAGACGTTTCTCTCTCTAAAGCCCTCTTCTTCGCCTTTCATTCTCTGCTCGCGCCAGCCCTAAATCCTGCGAGTCTGGTTCATATGTCAACATCCGGACCTCCACAATTCCGATACACGCAGACCCCATCCAAGGTTTTGCATCTCCGTAACCTGCCATGGGAGTGCTCGGAGGAAGAGCTGGTCGAGCTCTGCAAACCATTTGGGAAGATCGTCAACACCAAGATCAATGTTGGCGCCAATCGCAATCAGGCCTTTGTCGAATTCGTAAGCTTCCCTTTTCACCTCTGCATATATACGCTGTTCAGTTTCGTTTTCCTGCTCTAATTTATGCTCGTTCTTTGATTATTATCTATTTGCTTGTTTGGTGCTACTGTAAGCAGAATAACACCAGGAAACTTTCTTTCCTTTTCTTTTCCACACGAGCTTAGTGTAGTGCTTATAAGCTTTTAGTGGGTCACTTCGGAATGTTTTATTTCATGGTAATGTCCTGTGGTTGAGAAGTTGATTGATTTGGGATGTCATTGCTTGCAGCCCGACCTAAATCAGGCAATTCAAATGGTTTCCTACTATGCATCATCATCTGAGCCGGCACAAGTTCGTGGTAAAACTGTGTATATACAGTACTCGAACAGACACGAGATTGTCAACAACAAGAGTCCAGGCGATAATCCCGGTAATGTATTACTGGTGACTATGGAAGGGGTAGAAGCTGGCGATGTCAGCATTGATGTTATTCACTTGGTAAGTTTACTGATTCAAAACCTACGTACAGTTTTTGGTTAATGTTTAGCTGTCCTGAGGTAGGCTGAAGGTACAAGAATGGATTTCAGTTCAAAGGAGGAATTGAGTATAGAATAATTTGTATATAATTGGGTTTCCGAGCTTGGAGGCCATAGTCAAATGTTCAGAGAAGCACTTAAGTGAACTCGATGGGGGCGCTGGCATTGTTATATAACTTGTAAAGGAACATTATCGGTTGAATGTCTTTGGTCTCTTCATTTGGCCGAAAGGAGAAACATAATAGTAGCAATGAACTTTCAGCTGGGTCTGGGAACGATATAGGCTTTAAAACAGGAATGTATCCAGTGTTGTAGTGGCATGTAGGATAGTGACGTTCTGATGATAATTGCAATTCACATGGGAGAGATGTGGAAAGAAAAATGAGGAAAATGTAGAGGTTAGGGGTCCAGCACTAATGAATTCCATGCAGAAAAAGCTATTTTGCTTGTTCAGCGTGGAAGAGGAACGGTTGAGAATGTAATTCCCTACCATCTAAACAACATATATCGTGCCTTGTTGCAAGGAGTGATTAATATGCTGTCCATATGATTAATGTTGTTGTTATCTTTTCTATTCTATCCCCATAGCCTCTCCTTTCTTTTTTCTCCCTGAAGCAGTCTGCAAAACCTTCCACTGTACATAGAGTTGTAGGTATGTAAACATTGATATATGAGCCAAAACTGAACATGTCAGGTTGAGTGGTAGGAATTGCTATTTGGTTTTGTCCAAAAAAGGCTCTTCTTTGGTGAAGAATGGTTTCTTCATGGTTGTTCTCTTTGTCTTAATCTGAATAATTCCTGTGCTTTTTTTGACAATCTGAAATATGAATTATACATGAATCAGTTTTTATCCAAATCAGGTTGGCCTCTTATTTAGATTCTTCTGTTGGAGACAGTTTGGAAATATTTCTTGTACGTCATACTCCATTCTATGCTCTGTCTTGACGAATACATGTTCAGGTGTCATTCTACACTTCTTACTTATCTATCTGGATTTTACTGGTCATTTATTAGCGTCCTCATTGCTCTTTGCTATATTTCACATATTGGTGCTATTTTTACTTATTGTTATCCCTAATTTACTATATTTCAGGTATTTTCGGCTTTTGGCTTTGTGCACAAAATTGCTACCTTTGAAAAAGCAGCTGGCTTTCAGGTTAAGTCTCACAAATTTCTTCTTTTGTGATATGATTTTTATCATCTGAAAAAATAACCGTCTTACTCGATTTGTTGCCAGGCTTTAATTCAATTCACTGATTCAGAGACAGCTTCTTCAGCAAGGAATGCATTGGATGGCAGAAGTATACCAAGGCATGTTTTCCTTCTTCCAGTCCGACAATCATCACTGAACTGCGGCTTTTTTGCCCTAGTATAATCTTTTTCATTTTCCGGACTCTGCCTTGTCCTTGAAGTCATTTGGCTTCTCATGTCAATTTGCAGATACTTGCTGCCAGAACATGTTGGTTCATGTAACTTGAGAATCTCATACTCTGCCCACACTGATCTTAATATTAAGTTCCAGTCCCACAGAAGCAGGTAATAGCAACTGAAGAAACCAATACCTGGAATATTGATGCTTTACTAGTTGATTTACGTTGCCTGAATATTTCCTTATTGTTCTTCTGCATCATTACGAGAAATTTGGAACTTTGCTAATTGGTATGTGTGCTTTTGTCATCTAGGGGGTTAGTGAAGCTTTGTAGCAGGCACACAGATGTGTTTTCATGGCAACTTAGTAATTTCCTACTTCTTTGTTTGTATCTCTTGGATGTGATCAATATTGTTGTGGCTATTACTGCTTCTGGGATGCTTGAAAGTTAGTAATCACTTCTTTAGAGAAATTAGTTTAATCATTTGTAGAAAGTATTACTTTGTCTTTATGAACTGTTTCAATCAAAATCTGTAATGGTTATTTTTTATATCGTGATTGAAATGCTACCTTGTCATAATTGTTCCACTGGTCAATAGAATGAGTTAGTTTTGGCTTAAGAAGCTGCTACCTAGGCAGTTACAAGTGTGTATGTAATTCTTTTTCTAATAATGAATAAAGAGCGTGTCAAGAACCTAAGGCCCACCTAGGGTAAGCCAGGAAACTCATGTTCTTCCCTGCTGAAGAGTGAGTACTGTTGAACTTTTCTTGCTGCAATTCTATGAAAGTAGATGTCCTTTTCCAGGATATAATTTATCAACTTCCATACCAGATGTTACTCTAGTGTTCATGATAGCATTATCCAGCCAATTGAAAAGCCACAAAGCTAGCAATAATGTATACTATATGATTTCGGCTACACTGCTGAGTTAACTTTGTCTTCAATGTTTGTGTGATGCATGTGTCTTTCATGCTCTGCAGGGACTATACAAATCCATACTTGCCTGTGAATCCTACTGCCATTGATGGGTCTCTGCAGGTAACTCACGGCAATCACTTTAGTAGGATTTATAGCTTCTTTTTAGCACATCATGTAACAAGCAGTCATCTTCAGCTTGCTGTAGGCCCGGATGGAAGGAAGAAAGAACCTGAGAGTAATGTTCTACTTGCATCAATAGAGAATATGCAGTATGCTGTTACTGTGGATGTTCTTCATACGGTACAGAACCTCCTTTTGAGTTTCTAGGATTTTTCTTAATATAAAATTTCCCTCAGAACCTGAATTCAAAGCACTGGCTGGTTTATTATTGTAGGTGTTTTCAGCTTTTGGTAACGTGCAGAAGATTGCAATATTTGAGAAGAATGGCAGTACTCAGGCACTAATTCAGTATCCTGGTATCACATCACTCAGCTAAACAGAATTTGCTTATCTAATCTGAATCGCTTCTTCTTTCATCTATTCTCCTAATTTTATTTCATTCTGGGATTAGATGAGAACCCATGCATTCAATTATAAAACCTTCCTGGCTCAAAGTCATGTAGGTGCGGTTTGTGAATGCCTCATTTTCAATTCTGTGCTCTAAAGGAATGATGATAACACTTCACTTGAACAAGTTTTTGGTAAACGAGGTTGTCTGGTTAAGAAAAAAACTACTCTCTTACCACATTGGTGGTTGGGTATAATGTGAAGATGAATACTGCTCAACAACTGCCTTAGGCTCTTCTTTGCATGGGATGTTTTCTGCCTTCACTGATATATTGCCCCTGCCATATTAAACTCCGAAACGTTTACTTTCTTTCTTGCAGATATTGCAACGGCATCTGTAGCGAAGGAAGCTTTAGAGGGACACTGCATTTATGATGGTGGCTATTGTAAGCTTCATCTATCATACTCTCGTCATACTGATCTCAATGTAAAGGTATAAAATATATGCTTTTGAGTTAATATTCATGGGGGGAATAAGAAGCAAACTGTGAAAAATTGGGCTTAAGTGCGGCTTGGTCGAAAAACGATTTGGTCATAAAAATCGTATGCTTCTCTATACTTCACTTTCCTGTTTTGTGAGATTTCTGAATCTTATTACTAGGAATCTGAATGATTGCTCCTTTGTTTTTTGTTCTATCCTTTGTTATGTTCCATGGGTGGTAGGCTTACAGTGATAAGAGCAGAGACTATACAATCCCAGACACTAGTTTGCTTGCTGCATCATCACAAATCCCATGGCAGAATCATCAAGCTATGTCAGCATATGGTGGGAATGCATACAATGCTCCCCCAGGTGTGCCCGGTATGCCACATCAAGCTCCCATTGGCCAGTCGCACGGTCCAGGACCAGGCTATGGCTCAAACCCAGGATCCTATGGTGGTCATACATCATATCAACCACAACCGCCTATGCATCCGTATGGCAATACTGCAGCTGGTCCTCCTGATTCATCCCCTCACATCTCATAGGGCAGCGCAGCTCATCCTGGAGTCCACCCGAATTTGTGATCTGGTGCGGTGCTTCACACTCGAGGTCAGCTTTCCTGTCGTGGGTGGATGATGTATTTTATGTGGTAGATGGGTTTCCTGAGCATCAATGACAGTGAGTGTGTAATGTTTAATCAGGAAAAATTGTATGTTTACCATATTGTTAGATGATGTTTATCAAACAATCCTTCTGCATCGAACCATGTCCTCATACTGAGTAATTCTGAGTACTGATTGATCCCTCAGCAACAAATCCAATTTTAAAATCCATTTATCTGTCAGCATTTTCTGGTTTGAGTGTTGGTGCTTGTATGTGACATTGGGTTTGTTTTTGGTATTGTCACACTCTACTCATACAGTTACTGATAAGTTTGTGTTTCTTGATGATAACTTTTGTTACATTAATCAAAAAGTCTTTAGAAAACCCGGTAACTTTGGACCTGGTAGATCCCAGTTATATACCGTGTTTGTTCTGTGCAGTAAGAAGCCTCGAACCTTAGGTTTAGCATACTGTGAAACAACTTTGCTGCTCAGAGTCGGCCTGAAATGAACATTGAAAGGCTGTGAGACATGAGTCTAAAATGACTCAACTACTAAACCTGCATTGTCACTGTCGAAATTTAGTGTCGTGTATTTCCTCTGTACTCTGTAAGAGAAACTGAGAATTGATAGCTCCTGATCTTGGAATCCCATGTGTTTAGTGGTGGTGGCCTTGTCTGTCTCACAACAGGCATATGGCTTCAACTACTTTCTGTCTTTGTTTTTCCATTACCGTCGTAAACTTCACCGCCTTCAAAACCACTCTCTTCAGGCGTAAATCATGAAGTGGCGGCCTTGTGCAGTCATAAATCGCACGTAACTGTAAAATGGTCGTCACTAACAATGAGTTGGTTATACAAATTGGGAGTCATGCATATGTTCAACTTTAAACTACTCAACTCTCTGTCTACTTCAATTGCAACAGCACACTACCACCAATGTGGCTCCCTGGCCTTCACCATGTGAAGAGGGTTGGTAGGGTTACGTACGTTGTACCTGTCTGCACCATTTAATGAGTTTGTGGGACTAAGGAAAAATCTCAGGAAACTACGGGGATCGACTTGTGTTAGTATTTTGCCGCTGGCAGAAATCATATATTTACCCTTTTTGCAACCTGTTGCCGACAATTTCCAAAGTATACTGATGTAAATGAACTGCTCAACAATACAGCCTTTCCAACCCCATTTCCAGAAAACTCTCTTCCAATGTTTACTGTTTTAATGCAATCTCTGCCCAGTTTTCGTTTCCTTGCCCATCAAGGTACTCCATATGAAGGACTCAATGGCTAGCTGAACTATAAGTGGTCCGAAAGAGCAATGTGTGGACTCAAATAATGCCCTCGTCACAGATTTCAAGTCGCCTATCATACAAAGTCCCCTATTCCATTCACTAAACTCACTATCTAAGCACTTGTGTATATTGGGAAATCCAAGAGTGGATCGATTGGGAATTTTGATAAAGAAAACTCACGTTCTATCAACTTTGACGGAATAGACAATATGAAAAAAATTTACACCACCTGTGAAAATTTTTCGGAGTTTCTCTTTTGGGAGTGGGGGTAAGGGTTGGTTTACCATATTCATGTAAATAAATTTGTGGGGGGCACAATCACTCTTTAACCTCATATGCGACATGTGGGTTTGTCACAAATGGGAGTTTTATATAAAGGCACCAGTCCTTAAATACACATAAGAGTGCAAGCAACTAGTAAGGGCCACAAAATTTAAGGACCATTCTAACTAAACGCATATATATATGCACCATCCATCCACATGCTTAGTGAGCTTACTGATATTTCGACATCCATCGGCATTCGACAATTACAATCTGAGCGAGCAGGCGATTAATGACTCTAACTGCCATGGCCCCCACCCAATCTTCTGCGAAAGATCTCTTGTGTTTCTTGCTCCACAGAATATTGATTTCACTTTCACGAGCGCTTCTACTATGCTATATAATATTGGTGGTTTAATGTACAATTTAAAGTTGTACCATAACATTAAATGTATAAGTTTAGGTTGTACCATAAAAAAATTTATATCATTATGTTATGGTACACGTACTTTACAACTTGAAGTTGTACCATCACATAAGGTACAAGTTTAAGTTGTACCATAAAAGAATTTGTACAAAAAGTATAGGTACAATCTGAAGTTGTACCATAACGTTAAATGTACAATTTCAAATTGTACCATAAAGACAAAAACCTATAGCACCAATGCTATATAGCATCGTAAAATTCCTCCACTTTCCTAGCTAGCTCCCACGATTTTCTCCCCCCTCCCTCCCAAATTTACACAGATTGCAAATTACGCGTACTTATTGTTGATGCTAATTACGGTACGTAATTTGCAATCCAAGATAATAGTAAAGCTACAAACTCCTCTCCTTCCTTCCTAATCACATCTTAATTATAGCAATTCATTCAACCAAGTAGAAGTGATTAGCAATTAGTAGTACTGCAACAGTCTGCAAGTTGCATGGTCCCCAACTAGGGATGGCAACAAAACCCGAACCCACGGGTACCCACCCGACCCAACCCGGTCAACGCGGGTAAAATCCGTGTTGACGGGTTTTAGGCCGGGTTTGGGTTTAAACCCGTTCACTATTCAACGGGTTGGGTTGGGTTTGGGTTTAGGTAAACCCGGCCCGTGGGTACCCGCTCATCCATATAATTAATTTTTTCGGTATATTTAATATTCTAAACAACTAATCTTATTTATGTTTGTGGAGACATGTCTAATTTTTTCTTTTTAATTGTGTAGAATGAAGTTGATGTTATGGAGTGGAGAGTAAAGAAACTTAATTGAAAGGAAGAAACTTTCAATTAAACATGTTATTTATGGAAAATTTGTGATTTGCTTCAATTTTTTAAGTTTTCTAGATTGGTGTTGAACAATTTGTATAGTTAATTTGTGATTTGCTTGAATTTTCTAGAATGGTGTTTTATATATGGATAATTTGTATTGAGAGATTGATATTTGACTTTAATTTTGATAAGAACTTGTAATTGTAAATTTTTTACGACAAAACCCGTGGGTACCCATGAACCCGCGGATACCCAACGGGTTGGGTTGGGTTTGAGTTTTTCAAACCCAGTGGGTTTTACCCCGGGTTTTTTTCAAAGATAAACCCATGGGTTTGGGTTTGGGTTTGGCAAAACCCGACCCAACCCGACCCATTGCCATCCCTATCCCCAACTGCAACATGCAGAGAATAGCTGGTGGTGAAAGAAGGTTTTATTAATGGTCATGGCTGACTCACTCCTCTCTATTTATTCCCTTCTTGGATCTGCTTTCTCCTTACATTTCCTTCCTCAGAATTAAGATTCACACCCTGCAAACATTTCTCTTCTTGTGCTTCTCCCACTACTTCCATCTCAAATTGGTATACACAGCCAATAACTAGCTAGCTTACCTCCTTAAGGAAGAAGTAAAAGGAAATAGATGGGTGGCGGTTCTAGTGTTAAAGATTATTGCTTGATACTTCAAGCTCTCATCATCGTTGCAGCTTCTTCAGCCGGTCTGACATCAGGTCGAGGGTGGTACCATAGACATGTTGGAGGAGGAGGAGCTGGTCCTTGGATCAACGCTCACGCCACTTTCTACGGCGGTGGCGATGCTTCCGGCACAATGGGTACGTACGTCGGTCCACCTATTCTCACAAATTCATTTGTGCTCAATGCAGTCAAAAATCGCGCTTTAAAATTTAAAATCTTACGCTTTTACCTTTTTAGGTCACCAAAACGCTTCTACGTAGAATCGTGATTTTTCCCTCTCAAATGTAGTCAAAATCTACGCTTTAAAACTTAAAAACTTATGATTGTACGCTTCTAGGTCACCAAACCGTTTTTACGTAGAATCGCGCTTTTGACTGCATTGTAATCGTGCTCATTTACGAACTAATTGACGTTATTTATTACTAGTTCCTTAATTAACCCTATCCTCTAAATTAAATCTGATTAGCTGAACTAATTAATTGATCAATATTTTTTTTTTTATGTAGGGGGAGCGTGTGGGTACGGGAACTTGTACAGCCAAGGTTACGGAGTGAACACGGCTGCTCTAAGCACGGCGCTGTTCGACAACGGGCTGAGCTGCGGGGCTTGCTACCAGATCATGTGCGCCAACGACCCGCAGTGGTGCCTCCCTGGCTCCATCGTCGTCACCGCCACCAACTTCTGCCCGCCGGGAGGATGGTGCGACCCTCCCAACCACCACTTCGATCTCTCCCAGCCCATCTTCCAGCACATCGCCCAGTACCGCGCCGGTGTCGTCCCTGTCATGTACAGGAGGTACGTAATATTACCTTCTCCTCATATCTCTACATATTTGATGTTATAGCGTATACTAATTGCCACATCAGTTTCATATCTTCTGTGTCGCATTGTAATCGAATCGTGAAAAGGTACGATTTTGTTGTCTCATCAAAGTAAGCGTCAATAACTTCAAAATAAACCGAGCTTTGATTTTTTTTTTTTTGTACTTATGGACCCAACTGTGTTGAAAAATGATAAATATATATGTCCAATCGTTCACATTATCATTAAAAACACATCTATATTGGCATAATTATATTGCTTATATGACGGTTTTATAGAGTGCACGTCATACACTTATTTTATCTCGTGGTGGATGGCCACCAATTTTAGGTCGTGTTTCGATTTTGAGGACAATTATGTTGAAAACAGCTAAATATGTGCGAAAGTTGGAAGTATTTTGCATGGATTTACCGGCACCATTAATAAATTGGTTTAGAGCACTTACTTAATGGCTATATATATAGAGTGCACTTCACTAGCCAGCTTAATTATTTTATCTAATTGTATTTATTTTTTTTTAAACTAATTGTAGTATCTAAAAACTAGACATTTTAACCACGTGGTAAAAAACCCATAACAACAACTGAATATCTTGTAACTAACACATTAATCCTGTTTGTGGTTCTGTATATGCATATTACAGGGTGAGGTGCAGGAGAAGAGGCGGGATAAGGTTCACGGTCAACGGCCACTCCTACTTCAACCTGGTCCTCGTCACCAACGTCGGAGGCGCCGGCGACGTCCATTCCGTCGCCATCAAGGGCTCCAGAACAGGGTGGCAGCAGATGTCCAGAAACTGGGGACAGAACTGGCAGAGCAATTCCTACCTCAACGGACAGAGCCTCTCCTTCCTCGTCACCACCAGCGACGGTCGAGCTCTGACGTCGTACAACGTTGCACCTCCCAGTTGGTCCTTCGGCCAGACATATACCGGCCGACAGTTTAGGTATTAATGACAATATATTGTTTCGAGTGGTTACTTATACTATAAACAATATTACAATATTGTATTTGGGAGAGAAGGAGCAATGAAAAATTATTGCATCCCGTAACGGTATTGAATAAGGTTCATATATCTATATATGATTCTTTTCCAACAATGTTTCGTGTGTTTTTTTAATACGCACGTCCGTGATTTTTTATATGTAATAGTCATCAAGTTAGACACATGTTGATTTTCATGAAGTGGTGTGTAGATGAGAATCATATCTAAGTCGTTGTATAAGCTTGGTAGAAATGATTTTGGACGTTGGGGTGGGCTAGGTAGTCACATGGTGGAAGGCACTCCAAATCAGATAGCTACATATGCCATGTGAGACTATGAAAGTAATTGAGATTTTGGGAGCATCAGTACTTCACTATCCTCCTCTTAAATGAAACATGTGCATGGCAAAGATATTTTGTTTCTGAACTTGTTTTACGGCCTGAACCGACAATCACTTCACGATCTCTCCATATGTGAATCTGTGACAACATATAAATTTCAGCGAACAAGGGTCTAATCTAATAGTCTTAGGCATTAGTATTGAATATGAAAGTCTAATATTCGAATTCCAAAAAAAAAAAAACCTAGCTGCTATAATTTCGACCGTATCGATAAGAAGAAACGATGAAGGATATTGGTTTTGGCTTTGGAACAATGGAACGGACGGACCTACTCCAAGTTGATCTATATATGGGCTTCTGTTGTATGCTAGCCCAATCAAATTTGAGATTGCTCAATTTTATAAACCAAAATGGAGCCCAATTTTGTCTCAAGCCCATACAAGTTTTATCCCGGGTTGAGCCCACCGATGGGATTGGATCGTTGCCAAGCATCTTTTGGCACGGAAACTTGGGCACGGAAGTACGGAACGCTTCACCATTCCTTCGTTTTCACAGAACAACACATCACATTCATTTCGATCTTCTGCTTCCTCTTCGTAGTAGCAATTTCGTTCTGCTTCAAAGATTCCCAATACGAATAAAAACCCCGAAGAATCCGAATCACATGTTATTCTTTTGGCAATGGAAGGAATGGACTATATGGGGTTTGGATTGTTCTGGTTTATAGTGTGTTGATCAATCCTCTTGTTAATGGATAAATAGTGAATGGCAATGGGACGTGGAGGGGCGGGTACTTCAATATCCATACCCTGCCGCACGCTATTACGGGTCGGAATGGGTAAAACACGCGTGGGTACGAGGTGGGGCGGGTCGATAAACTCTTACATGTTATTTGAAACAAACATACATAAATTTTACTTTTTACGATAAAACGAAGGAGAAAGCACTTTATAAATTAAAAATAGTGATAATAGAATGGGTAATTGAGTCTAACCAGTTGAAATGTTGACTCTTAAAAATTGAAAAAAGTAAAAAAAAAAAAAAAGAAGAAATATGTATAGATATTGTAAGAAATTGAGGTAGAATGGGCCAAGAACGGGGCAGGGCGGGTGGGAAGTAGATATCTATGTCCCGCCCCACGCTACAACAGGTCGGGTAATACCCGCCCCATCGCAGATCAGCTCGGATAATACCTGCGAGGCGGGTTCAAATTGCCATTACTATGGATAAATAACGAGGAAGGACGATGGTGTCACTGCGTCAAGCATCTTTTTTGTGTTTCCAGAATCTAATCTATCAAACAAGAAAGAAATTGGTTTGTCTATGTAGATAAGAGTTCTTTATCTATTTGTTAAACTAAATGCCCCATTGTAATATCTATGGAGTCTCATCGCGATCCTTTGTCAAGTCATCGTCCGCATCTCTGGGTTGCAAAAATTTGTTTTAAGTGTGCTGTCTAGCTAAACAAGAAAAGACCAATATGATCTAACATTTTGGCTAGTCTACCCTATGCTCCAAGGGCTAAAAGAAGCGCTTCCCTGGGATATGGTCTTTTGAGTCAAAGGGTATACTATTAACTATTTTTATTAGGGGTGGGAAACAGTGCGGTTGCGGTTAACTGCACCGAATAAGTGCGGTTAACCGCCACCGCACAAAGGGAAAATCACCCACCGTTACCGCAATGCAAACGATTTGCGGTTAATCACTAACTGCAAATCACGGTTAGCGGTTAATTGCGGTTAACTGCACTTTAAACCGCACACCGCGATTAAGAGTTAAACGGTGTAAAAAACCGCGAAATGAAATAAAACCGCAACAAAAACCGAATTAACTTGTAAAATCCAGCAACATGCACTTGATAAATTAACACTAAAACAAGGAAAATGCATCTGAAAAAGTCAGAAACAGAATTAAGTTCTAAACATCCAAAAGAAACCATCCACATTAAGTTCTAATACGGAAAATGCACTTGGAAAATTCATTTTGGGTTGTTGGATGGATTGGGCTTGGGTTGGGTATACTTTTATGCGGTTAGTTATTCGGTGCGGTGTGCGGTTAGTCCACAAACCGCAAAAGAGCTAATTTCACTAACTGTTACCGAATAAAGACCCTTTTAAACGGTTTGCGGTTAACCACAAACCGCTCTTATTCGGTGCGGTTGCGGTTGAACCGCTAAACCGCAACCGTTTTCCCACTCCTAATTTTTACTCCTAAAACTAGGCAGGACAACATTAGGGAATTTGGGCATGCTCCATGCTGCCCTTGTCTCAAGGTTGAGCTTATGTAGTTGGTTTACACACAATTCATAGCCGTTAGAAGCATGATTGGTTATGTAATATTATTGTTATTGCATACATTCAACAATCATAAATTTCGAGTCTTGAGACCCAGCATTCAACCAAGTAATTATGTGCTTCTGCCAAGGGAAGCAAGATAACCAAATGCACATTAGAACAGTGCAATCTGCAAGCTACTAATGTGGTTGTTTGTTTTGCAGAGACTAGAAGAGAGAGAGATAAGAGATGGCAGGGTGTTAGTGGTGGTGAGGTAATTCTAGCAGAGAAAGAGTCAAAGTTATTACATCAGTTTTCTTTTTTAGAGTCAGAGGGAAAATGAAACTGCTTTGTCAGAGGGTGCAGGCCAGATAGCAGGGGAGCAGGCAGAGAAAGGATGAGTACTCGTGTGGATTTCTGTTACAACTTACTGCAACAACAACAACAAAAACACCCCACCACCCCTTTTCTTTGCCCAAGTACACTCTTCTTCCCCCATTTCTTTCCTCTATTCACTCTGCTTTCTCCCTCTCCTCCCCCCCTTCTGTTTTTGTTTGCTTTTCCCGTTTTAGAACCATGGAAGTGACCTTCATGTCACAGTTGCATAACACAACAACAAGCACCACCACCACCACCACTGGCTCCAGCTACTGCTGCTGTTGCTGCTGCTGTCATCAAGACAAGGATGGCTGCTGCTTCCCCAATCACATCTCTCCCATTCCTTCTTCTTCTTCAGATGCTCATTATCATATACATTCTTCTCCCTCTCAGACTCAACTCACACCACCACATACCCTTTTGGCCTCTCCTTCTCCAGACATGGCCAAGTGCAGTAATAATGACAGCAATAACAACAGTGTGGAGAGGCAGAAGAAGAAGAAGAAGAACAAGAGTATTGATGATAGCAGGTGCTTGAAAGTTAGTACTGCTAAAGGGCATTGGAGGCCTGCAGAGGATGCTAAACTCAAGGAACTTGTTGCCCTTTATGGCCCTCAGAACTGGAACCTCATTGCAGAGAAGATGGAAGCAAGATCAGGTGGGTGGTTTGGTAACTGCACTTACCTCTTACTCTTCTTTTCTACTATTTCTCTGTCACTCAGGTTTTTTTTGTCTCATTCTTCTGCTTCTTTGACTGATTTTTTAAGGTAAAAGCTGTAGACTGAGGTGGTTCAACCAGCTGGATCCAAGGGTGATCAAGAGAGCCTTCAGTGAAGAAGAGGAAGAGAAACTAATGGCTGCTCACAGAACTTATGGCAACAAATGGGCACTGATTGCCAGGTTTTTCCCAGGGAGAACTGACAATGCGGTTAAGAATCACTGGCATGTTATAATGGCTAGGAGATACAGAGCACAGTCCTGGAATAATTGCAGGGCCAGAAGAGAGATCAACCAGTCTTCCACTGCTAATTGTTTCGTTGGGCAAGAAGAATACGCTCCCAGTGGCAGCAGCCAGGAATCATTATTACTCCATTGCCCATCTGCAACTTCCAGTGGAGGAGGAAGCACTAATGCTGCTTCTCCTGGAGACACCAATAGCAAAGGAGGAAAAGAAACAGTGGGAAATTGGAAATCATCTTCATCCCCAGTATTGTTTGTTAGGAGCAGCAATCCCAAGCTCAACTATTTTCCACAGCAACAACAATCCCTCGTGGCCTATGGTGTCTTTTCTGGTTTGCTCCAAAATGCAGTTTAAAAGTTGCTTTATTTTCCTTCTTATCAGTGTCCACATTGTGCTCCATGGTTCCAAATCTACTACTCATAGTTTTCCCCCATCCAATTGTAGAGAAAGACTTCCACTGCCATGTGATAAATGACACCATGGTTCTTCCCCAAAATTTGCAGGTCAGGAGGGCCAATGGAGTCCCATTCTGAAGAAGAAGCAGAGTAACATGGTGAAAGATGATGGTACCACCAACACCACCACCTTCACTGCTTTCATTGGCAAGCAAGCATCTGGAGTCACAGTCAGTGAAGCATCAATGTCATCATCATTATTATCACTATCACTAGCAAGGAACCCAGAAACCACAGCAGCAGAAGCAACAACAACAAGGGACCTATTCAACACCAGCAAACCCTCAGCCCCACCACCACCATTTATAGACTTCCTTGGAGTTGGAGCCTGAAGATACAGCAAGATGTAAAGTTTCCAAACTAGGTAAAAGGGAGACATGGGGAAAGAAAGAGACACTCGTGTGGGTAGTGGGTTAGGATTATATATGAGATCAGTATGTTATCATGAGCCGGGGAAAAGATGCATTTCCCAAGGAGGCAGTGTTTCTAGGTTAGGACTAACTCAAACAGGTTAGCTAGCTAGTAGCCTTTCAAGTTTCAACCTTCGTGTTTGTAACAAACAATCAATCAATCCTCTTTTGCCTTGTCAATCTACTTCTTTCTGAATTTTGCATGTATTTTCTTTTTTGGGTTAAGTTTACGCAGCCCCAATATTAAGCATAAAAAGGGGTAGCTCTGGAAGCATGGGAATAGCATTAGTCCCATTTCAGTAACAGACTTCCTTAAATTCTGCTGCCTAAAACTGCTGGACAATTAAATTCCAGCAAGGAAGTGGCCAAGTGTTTTGTCATCTCGTTTGTGTCAAACATTCAGAACAGACAAACAACAAACTATTATAATAATAATATTCATGGACGGTTACCAGAAAATCGCAACATGCAACAGTAAGCAAGTAACAAAACTGGGGAAAAGAGGCTTGTGGTGGGCCTTACAGCAAAAGCAGGACAACAGTGGTAGTTTTCACAATACTGTTTCTTTTCTTCTGTGTGTTGTGTTGTTTACGTTTCACTGTGGCCTAGCAGACTTCAGGTGAGAGTTTCATCAACTCCATTAAATACTATAGATCCCTACCCACGAGGGGGTTATTTTATTTGACTCTGCCTCGCATGAATTTGAAAAGCAGGACTGTAAACAATGTGCTTGTGGTCAATTGGTTCAACGGTTCATGTTGAAGATGGAAAAAAGTAACAATATGAACATAACTCCTGAACATTATGAAACTTGGGTTAGCGAGTGTAAACCTGTGGAAGGAGCTCCTTGACAGTCGAGGCAAGCTACAGCACACTTTCTGTTTGCCGAATCAAATGCTTGCACTCTGAGCTATAGTCCCAGGTTTAGTAGATGAGCAAGCATCCTCAAGTTCTTGCTTCGACAGAAGCCTAGTGGAGTGAGCAAATTTTGCTACCTGACAGGAGTTAACGTCAGCTGGGGTTGCTGGTTGCACCATAAAGTAGTTGTCAAGAGCTTTGATGGTTTTATCTATGAAAGCCGATCTCTGCAAATACTCCCTCATCCGGCACACAAATTCTGTGTGGTCTCTTGCCTGCGACAAAACAAATGTATCCTTTCAAGTTTCAACAACACAAAGGATTATGCCATGGATGCCCAACAATTGTAAGATTATGGAAAGCCAACCACGCATATCATAAGACCCTTCCATCAGAAAGCTAACGAAAAAAACTGGTAAGTGAAAACAATGTTCTACCGATCTGTACTCCGGAGCACGGGAAGGTAGCTTCAAATAAGTCATATTCCGATCCTCATAGTCCCACAAAAAGGAAGTATGGTGAATCCACCGGTCTTTAGTTATGGATTGTGCATTCCCACCAAACTTGCGATTACCAAACACATAATCTGGTAACAGAACAAAACACCATGATTTGGAACACTGAAATATAGGCTGCATGGCAGAAGCAAAAAGATAATGTGGCGGACTAGGCAAAGTCTCAAAACAGTTTCTAATGGAAAGCTTTTGCTTACCATTCTCCCGCAGTTGAAAATCCCCAATCCCTTGGAACACTTCATCATACAATTTACCACTCCAAGACATGATTGAACGAGGATATGGTTGCACCTTAGGAACAGCATCCTTGTTGCATATGAGAGTAACAAAAATAGTCCCTTCATCGACTATAACCGTACCACCACCAGTAAATCGTTTGATAACAGGAACATTATCTCCAATCACAGACTCGAGTTCAAGAAGTTCCGCCGGTTTCCTGCACCGATATTCATATCTATCAATTTCACGCCTCAACAGCTGCCAAGATTACATTTTGGCAGAACCACATGAGATAAGTTCCTTTACCCTGATACTCCCATGACTACGGTAGGGGCATTTGCTCCATCATTAACAATACACCAGTTATCTGAAGTCGTCCGTAGCAACTTCTCCTCCAAGTTGAGTTGGTCGAGTATGGGCATTCCCTTGAATCTAACAAGATTCATCAGCGGCAGCCCCAGTTTTTCAGATTGACGAAGTAAACCCATTGTCTAGGTTGTTCAAATATAAGTTCAGCCTATAGAATTTGCAGTGGAATGGTCAAAATCCAAATTCAAAACCACACAAAAGGAAGGAGAAACGGACCAAGTTGGAAGCTTTAATGAAGCAAAGGGCATAGTTGATGGTGAAAGCGCGGGAAGAAAAAGGTCCAGACCAATTGGAAATTACCTCGACAAATAGGTCACCGGGAAACTGACCGCAAAACTTGATCGGGATGTACCGAAACAGAGTTCCAAGAAGAAGAAGAGATACTGTCGTGGCCTCCGGACTCCGGTGTATGTTGGATCGATTCTATTCGTCACAGGCAGCAGCCAACCAATAGCGTTATTCTGCTAACGCTATTAGTGGTTAGTATATACTAACACGGTGAGATGAGGAGCCACGTAGGCGAGCCACCATCGGAGGGGTGAGAATCGCCGGCGGGATTCTGTGAGGGGGAAAAGTTTTCTCGGCCAAGCTGAGCCACATTTGGGACAGAAATAAAAAAAATAAAAAAAAAAAGTAAAACCCAAAATTTCAAACCCGCCCAAAACCCAACCTCAACTCGCGGTCAGCCACTCTCCCTTCTCTCTCCAGAACTTTCGAACCCTCTCTCTCTCCACGAACTTTCGAACCCTCTCCCTCTCTTCTTCTTTTCTCCCGAAAACCACCACCAACCGCGAGACCACCAACAGCGACGATCTTCGACGGCGACGACGGCTGCGAGGTCGGCGACTTGTTGCTGGTTGTACCGCCGACGTGGCCCTTGAAGCTCTCCCGACCGACGAGGAAGAAGACACCGCCGACGGAGAAGAAAGAAGAAGACGCCGCCGACTTCGCTGACGAAAAACTCCGCCGCCGTCGCCGCCGATAGTTGGAGGTAGAAGAAGACGCTGAGGTTGTTCATTTTCTGTATGGATTTGAAAATTTATGTTAGGGTTTCGGTTTATGGATTTTTTGTGTGGAAATCTGGGTTTTGTTTATGGATTTGAAAATATATGGTTCATGCAATTCGATTTAGGGTGTTTAGGATTTTGATTCTCGATTTCCAGATATTGTGTCCGTGGGATTCGAATTTGGGGTTTAGGGTTTCGTTTTGGGGGTTCATGGATTCTTTTTTCGATTTGTAGATTTAGGGTTTCATGGATTCGAATATGGGTGTTTAGGGTTTTTTTTGCAGATTACCAGATTCTGGGTCTGTGGGATTCGAATTTTGGGGTTTAGGGTTTCATTTATCGATTTGTAGATTTTGGGGGTTTGTTGGATACGATTTTGGGGAATGTAGGTATTGTTTGTTGATTCCTTGATTAAATGTTACATGGATATTAGTTTTATCACTTCCGATACTTATTGTGATCATTTTATATATTGTTTCATTTTGTTTTCTCGAATTCCATTTTGGGGGTTTGTTGGATACGATTTTGTTCAATCTGGGTATCATTTGTCGATTCCTTGGTTAAAGATTATATGGATATCATTTTTGTCAATTGTGATACTAGTACGTTGGATTATAATACTGATGTTTATTTTGTATGGATACTAGTCTGGGCATATATTATATTCATTGAAATATTGTGGATACTAGTACGTTGGATTATAATACTGATACATATTTGGAGAAATGGGATACGATTTTAAGATTCATGGATACTAGTGATACTTATTGTGGTCATTTTGTTTATTGTTTCAGTTAATGGGGAGACCGAAAAAGAAGCCCAACAATGATGGAGAAGGATCATCAAAGCAGCCACCTGATGTACAACAAGAGGTTTAAAAATTACTAGTCGGATGCATTTTAATATTTTCATTAACCGATAGTTTTCTTAATATCTAACTATTTTTCAGGAACAACCCGTGAGGAAGAAACCCAAAACTGTTGCACCAAAATCTTCAGCGAAATCTCGTGAAGCAGCTGGATCATCACAGCAGCCGCCGGATGAACCACCACCGGAGGTTTGATTTCTCACTTCGTTTCTCGATTAGTTATATTGGCTAAAAAAAATAAACTGATGTGTCTGATGTGTGGATATCAGTTCTGTTAATGTGGATACTTAACTGTTCGTTTTAGTTATTTTTCTGGGTATTATGGATATTTTTTCATGGATATTAGTTATCTCCGTTTGGATACACTTTTGCTTTACTACGATAATTGTATTGTATATAAGTGTGCGTTTTAGTTATTTGTCCAAGGATACTAGTCTGGGCATATATGATATTCATTGAAATATTGTGGATACTAGTACGTTGGATTATAATACTGATACATATTTTGTATGGATACTAGTCTGGGCATATATTATATTCATTGAAATATTGTGGATACTAGTACGTTGGATTATAATACTGATACATATCGCAGAAGTTATTCTGCTAACAGGCCAAATCGTTAGCAGATACTAACAGGGCAGGATGAGGGCCACGTCGGCCCATGTTTGATCCAACGGAGGAGCTCTCGGCTCGGTGGTGGCTCACTTAAGTGAGCTGAAGGTGGGCCAACAAGCAAAATCCGGCCAAAAATCCGGCCCAGCGTGCGGCGGGCAGCGGAGCTGAGCAAGTGGCGTGGTGGGCCCAGCTTGATTTTGGGCGGGAGAATGGAGAGGAGTGGAAAGAGAACCAAATTTTATGGGCCCATGTTAGTATTATGTATGTGTTGTTTGTGTGGATATTTATTTGTTCTCAGTCGATATTAATTTATGTTATGTTGATATTGCTTTGTATTATTGTTGAAATTTTGGGCCGTATTATTCCTTTGCAAAACAATATCCTACACACTATCAAGTCCTAACTCGTAAGGCTTGCAACCTTAGTTAGGGCTGCCCGCCGAGGGCCCATGGGCCGAAGGCCCATTAAATAATATTAGTTTTTATTGACGAGCGGTTTATTTTTTAGGGTTGATTGTTTAGGTTTGGTTTATGGTTTACGGTTTACGGTATAGAGGTTAGGGTTAAGGTTTCAACATAAGGGTTTGGGTTCTCTTTAGGGTTTAGGGTTTTGTCTGGTTAGAATGAATATCTATTATTTCCTAATTATATTGTTTTAGAGTTTATTTAGTAGTGTTGATTGTTTAGGGTTTAGAGTTCAGTGTTTAGGGTTTAGAGTTTAGCGAATGTTTGAGTTTATTTGAACCCGAGGAAACATTCTCTTAGTTCATGTGTTTGGATATTTTTGTGGAACCTTTGAATATTATCAGCTTGGGAAAACAATAATAGTTTTATTTTTTTAGTGTTTAGTGATTAGGGTGATAGAGTTTAAACTTTAGGGTTTAGGGTTAGGGTACAAATAATAGATATTAGTTTGTGTGTTGTGGATACTCGTTCTTCCTAGTTGTAATACCTGTTACTAACATACTGATATTTATTCCAAATATTATGATTTTTTTCCGGGCTGTGCAGATATTTATATGAACCTGAGGAAACATTCCCTTAGTTCATGTGTTTGGATATTTTTGTGGAACCTTTGAATATTCTCAGCTTGGGAAACAATAATAGTTTTATTTTTTTAGTGTTTAGTGATTAGGGTGATAGAGTTTAGGGTTAGGGTTAGGGTACAAATAATAGATATTAGTTTGTGTGTTGTGGATACTCGTCTTTCCTTGTTGTAATACTTGTTTCTAACATACTGATATTTATTCAAAATATTTTGAACATTCACTTAGTTCATGTGTTTGGATATTTTTGTGGAACCTTTGAATATTCTCAGCTTGGGAAAACAATAATAGTTTTATTTTTTAGTGTTTAGTGATTAGGGTGATAGAGTTTAAAGTTTAGGGTTTAGGGTACAAATAGTAGATATTAGTTTGTGTGTTGTGGATACTTGTCTTTTCTAGTTGCAATACTTTTTTTTCAAATTATGATATTCATTTAAAATTTTATGATATTTTTCCGGGTTGTGTGGATATTTATTTGAAACCGAGGAAATATTCCTTTAGTTGATGTGTTTGGATATTTTTCTGGGTTGTCTGGGTATTTGTCTGGGTTGTCTGGATATTTTTCTGGGTTGTCTGGATATTTAATT